TTATACCCAACATCAGGACCAGTGACGCAGCCCTTATACCCAACATTAGGACCAGTGACTCAGCCCTTATACCCAACAATAACAGACTTTGGAGGTAAATTTTGGTTAAAATATCTTGTCTTTAAGATTTGTTTTGATGCATAACTTCAAAATTTTACGATTTTTTTTCTAATTAAAGAAAAAAAGTTTATTTTTTCTCTGACGTGTGTAAAATATAATTTACAAGTAATAAAATATTGTTAAGTACAAAATAAAGTAAGTAAAATGCTGTGTATTTTGCTCCTTGAAGGGAAGGGCTCGTGATCCAAGGCAGTGCTGCATGACCCTTGTGAGTTTACCATTTAGTTTTGATAATCTTAATCCAAGGAATTGGACTCCTCCCCCCCCCTTGGAACAACCTTAATGCCTCTCCATTCACAGGGCGATAACCTAGCCCCATTCGGGTTTAGTGCTCCCCTATGAATGTTATAATAATGCTGCAGTAATGTTCTCAGTAGCGGCCTCAAGCATCACAGCGGAAATAAATCACTTATGGGTCATCTTGGTGGGTAATTTACATGTTATTATATTATTGTGTCCACGAACAAGCGGTATTTAATCAAAAGCTGCGGCTAGGGGGGGGATCAAACCCGTGTTGTTTCAGCCCGCCTCATTGGAAGAGCGAAAATTCATGACGCCCTAACGTGTATGTGGTCCAGCGGTGTAAGGCGTCGTTAATTTTCGCTCTTCCGAGGCGGGCTAAAACAACAAGGGTTCAATGTCCTGGCTATCCGCAGTTTGTTATTGATATGTTACTATGTATGGTAATTGTCCTTATGTGTACCTGTACCTAAATAAATTCACAGCTGTCACTGTCCACCTAGCAGTAAGTAGGTACCTGGGTGTTAGTGGACTTGCGTGGGTCGCATCCTGGGGGAGCGAACACTAAAGGACTCTATGAAAAAATAAGGAAATGGTCCCCGCTAGCTCACTCAGCTCATACACTGAGGTCTGGGGGCTCAGTTCTCCATTATGGCCGGAAACATTTGGATGTGCTTCCTCAAGGCACCTACTGTCCATGTTCACCCATCAGTAAAATGGTACCTGGGTGTTAATCGACTTGTGTGAGTTGCATTCTGGGGACAAAATTGACCTAATTTGTGGGAAATGCTGTGTATAACAAGCACCTTCTATATACCAGCTAGGCCTGTATACCTTGTGCATGTACAGTGGACCCCCGGTTAACAATATTTTTTCACTCCAGAAATATGTTGAGGTGCCAGTACTGACCGAATTTGTTCCCATAAGGAATATTGTGAAGTAGATTAGTCCATTTCAGACCCCCAAACATACACATACAAACGCACTTACATAAATACACTTACATAATTGGTCGCATTGGGAGGTGATCGTTAAGCGGGGGTCCACTGTACTTGTAGAAATAGATATTATTATTATTTAAGTGAAACAAAGCTGAAGGGGGTGGGAGAGTTTCAGTGGAGAGGAATAAATGGGATTAGGTCAGGGGTTTCAAATAGAGTTAGAGCTAAAGAAGGAGTAGCAATAATGTTGAAGGATAAGCTATGGCAGGAAAAGAGGGACTATAAATGTATTAATTAAAGGATTATGTGGAGTAAAATAAAGATTGGATGTGAAAAGTGGGTTATAATAAGCGTGTATGCACCTGGAGAAGAGAGAAGTGTAGAGGAGAGAGAGAGATTTTTGGAAATGTTGAGTGAATGCGTGGGGAGTTTTGAATCAAGTGTGAGAGTAATGGTGGTTGGGGATTTCAATGCTAAAGTGGGTAAAAATGTTATGGAAGGAGTAGTAAGGTAAATTTGGGTGCCAGGGGTAAATGTAAATGGGGAGCCTTTAATTGAGCTATGTGTAGAAAGAAATTTGGTAATAAGTAATACATATTTATGAAAAGAGGATAAATAATATACAAGGTATGATGTAGCATGTAATGAAAGTAGTTTATTAGATTATGTATTGGTGGATAAAAGGTTGATGGTAGGCTCCAGGATGTACATGTTTATAGAGGGCAACTGATATATCGGATCATTATTTAGTTGTAGCTACATTAGAGTAAGAGGTAGATGGAAAAGAGGAAGGTGGCAACAACAAATAAGAGGGAGGTGAAAGTGTATAAACAAAGGGAGGAGGAAATTCGGGTGAGATATAAGCGTCTATTGGCAGAAAGGTGGCTAGTGCAAAGATGAGTAGTGGGGGTTGAAGAGGGTTGGAATAGTTTTAAAAATGCAGTATTAGAAATGTGGGGCAGAAGTTTGTGGTTATAGGAGGGTGGGGGCAGGAGGAAAGAGGAGTGATTGTGGAATGATGAAGTAAAGGGTGTGATAAAAGAGAAAAAGGTAGCTTATGAGAGGTTTTTACAAAGCAGAAGTGTTATAAAGAAGAGCAGAATATATGGAGAGTAAAAGAAAGGTAAAGAGAGTGTGAGAGAGTGCAAAAGGAGAGCAGATGATAGAGTGGGAGAGGCACTGTCAAGAAATTTTAATGAAAATAAGAAAAAATTTTGGAGTGAGTTAAACAAGTTAAGAAAGCCTAGGGAAAATATGGATTTGTCAGTTAAAAACAGAGTAGGGGAGTTAGTAGATGGGGAATGGAGGTATTGGGTAGATGGCGAGAATATTTTGAGGAACTTTTAAATGTTAAGGAAGAAATAGAGGCAGTAATTTCATGCACTGGTCAGGGAGGTATACTATCTTTTAGGAGTGAAGAAGAGCAGAATGTAAGTGTGGGGAGGTACGTGAGGCATTACGTAAAATGAAAGGGGGTAAAGCACTGGAACTGATGGGATCATGACAGAAATGTTAAAAGCAGGGGGTGGGATATAGTGTTGGAGTGTTGGTACTTTTGTTTAATAAATGTATGAAAGAGGGGAAGGTACCTAGGGATATGGCAAGAGCATGTAATAGTCCCTTTATATAAAGGGAAAGGGGACAAAAGAGACTGTAAAAATTATAGAGGAATAAGCTTACTGAGTATACCAGGAAAGTGTACGGTAGGGTTATAATTGAAAGAATTAGAGGTAAGACAGAATGTAGGATTGCGGATGAGCAAGGAGGTTTTAGAGTGGGTAGGGGATGGTAGATCAGGTGTTTACATTGAAGCATATATGTGAACAGTATTTAGATAAAGATAGGGAAGTTTTTATGGCATTTAGGATTGTAGAAAAGGCATATGATAGAGTGGATAGAGGAGCAATGTGGCAGATGTTGCAAGATATGGAATAGTGAGGTAAGTTATTAAATGTCTGTAAAGAGTTTTTAGAGGATATGTGAGGCTCAGGTTTAGGTGTGTAGAAAGAGGGAGAACTACTTCCCGTAAAAGTAGGTCTTAGACAGGGATGTGTAAATGTCACCATGGTTGTTTAATATATTTATAGATGGGTTGTAAAGGAAGTAAATGCTAGGGTGTTTGGGAGAGGGGTGGGATTAAATTATGGGGAATCAAATTCAAAATGGGAATTGACACAGTTACTTTTTGCTGATGATACTGTGCTATGGGAGATTCTAAAGAAAAATTGCAAAGGTTAGTGGATGAGTTTGGAATGTGTGTAAAGGTAGAAATTGAAAGTGAACATAGAAAAGAGTAAGGTGATGAGGGTGTCAAATGATTTAGATAAAGAAAAATTGGATATCAAATTGGGGAGGAGGATATGGAAGAAGTGAATGTTTTCAGATCTTGGGGAGTTGACGTGTCGGCGGATGATTTATGAAGGATGAGGTTAATCATAAAATTGATGGGGGAAAAAAGGTGAGTGGTGCGTTGAGGAAATTGTGGAGTCAAAAAACGTTATTATGGAGGCAAAGAAGGGAATGTATGAAAGTATAGTAGTCCCAACACTCTTATATGGGTGTGAAGCTTGGGTGGTAAATGCAGCAGCGAGGAGACGGTTGGAGGCAGTGGAGATGTCCTGTTTAAGGGCAATGTGTGGTGTAAATATTATGCAGAAAATTCGGAGTGTGGAAATTAGGAGAAGGTGTGGAGTTAATAAAAGTATTAGTCAGAGGGCAGAAGAGGGGTTTGTTGAGGTGGTTTGGTCATTTAGAGAGAATGGATAAAAAGTAGAATGACATGGAAAGCATATAAATCAAATAGGGGAAGGAAGGCGGGTAGGGGTCGTCCCGAAAGGGTTGGAGAGAGGGGTAAAGGAGGTTTTGTGGGTAAGGGGCTTGGACTTCCAGCAAGTGTGCGTGAGCATGTTAGATAGGAGTGAATGGAGACGAATGGTACTTGGGACCTGACGATCGTTGGAGTGTGAGCGGGTAATATTTAGTGAAGGATTCAGGGAAACCGGTTATTTTTCATATAGTCGGACTTGAGTCCTGGAAAGGGGAAGTACAATGCCTGCACTTTAAAGGAGGGGTTTGGGATATTGGCATTTTTGGAGGGATATGTTGTGTATCTTTATATGTGTATGCTTCTAGACTGTTGTATTCTGAGCACCTCTGCAAAAACAGTGATAATGTGCGAGTGTGGTGAAAGTGTTGAATGATGATGAAAGTATTTTCTTTTTGGGGATTTTCTTTCTTTTTTGGGTCCCCCTGCCTCGGTGGGAGACGGCCGACTTGTTGAAAAAAAAAAAAAAATTATTATTATTATTATTATTATTATTATTATTATTATTATTATTAGGGTATACTTGGAAGGACGTTAAAATTTAGCGATCAGAAGACTAAGTTAAAATTCATTTTTAAGCACCAGCATGCCTGAAATGCTCTGTATGTTAGTGGCTTTCTTGAGCACCTAACAATATTTTATCATATGTAAACTACATTTTGTATATTACAGAAAAGAAATGAAGTTGTATTGTGAGTGCCACATGACCATGTTGGGTTAAGTGCTTGGTTTGACTATAATAATAATAATGTATTTATAAAACTCACGTGCTTAATAATACAAGTGACAATTTTAACATCAAAAAATGTCCATATATATTTAGTCAAGAATGTAAAAATTTATTTTATCATATCGGTTTTTTTAATTCATTACAGGCTACATAACTTCAAGCTCTGCCTGTGTCAAGAAATAATGAGTTACAGCGTCCATGTCTTACATGATGGCTACTCAAGAATGGAAGATGGGATGATGAAAGCTAACTGCACCTGTACTCTTGTTAAAGGCCCAAATAATTTGATTGTTGACACCATGACAGCCTGGGATAAGGAAAAGATAATCTCAGGTACGGTACTGTTATGTGTTTGTATCTTCACCAAGTGGTAGATCAACCAGGCTGTGATGGATATGTGGGTTAGCAGGCCTCCAGCAGCAATAGCCTGGTTGACCAGGCAAGCACCAGTCACGCCTGGCCCTTGGCCAGGCTCCAGGAGTAGAAAGACTACGTTGTACCTGTACGGAGAAATAATTATTTATTTTTCATTACACGTTGGCCATTTCCCATCAAGGTCAGATTATTATTATATTATTATTATTATTATTATTAAAGGTATGGGATAATATAACCTTAAAAGGTTCATACAGGACCTCAATGGAAATAAGTCGCTTTGACTTTTTTTGGGTTATCCTGGTGGTGTCAGCATAGTTGCTGATCCCCTTATATGTGTTGTATAGCGTATTATAGTACCATCCATGTGCTTTATATAGAAGATCCCTTAGGTCTGTGACTGTATGACGTCACGGGGTACAGCTTGAGGCAGTGAGACGAGCTGCCTTGCTCTCAGTCGGCGTATAGACATCCAGGCAGTGACACGGCAGGCTGGGCTCATCCCTTCCTTACCACAGTCTGACAATATATATATCGTTACCATCCAACAAGTGTGTCTACCTTCAACCCTCGTTATCTCCTTAAGAACCCCTACGACAGTGGGTTATTTACATGATGTACGATAATTGTAGTTGTATGTACCTGTATCTTAATCAATTTAAACCTGGGGAATGAGAGGTAATTAAGTTTGATACAAAGAGAGGGAGGTAGCGCTACTTCCTTGGATCATAAGTGCCTCTCTGGTATTATCTTTGTCTTGTGATGGCCAGACAGTCATGTTAAGCACCCGGCATCTGGTTATTAACTAGATGGTTGACTGTGGTACATAGATAAGATTTCATTCGAATTTTTAACCCTGGAGGGTTAGCCACCCAGGATAACCCAAGAAAGGCAGTGCGTCATCGAGGACTGTCTGTCTTATTTTCACTGGGGTCCTCAGTCTTGTCCCCCAGGATGTGACCCACACCAGTTGACTAACACCCAGGTACCTACTTGCTGCTAGGTGAACAGGACAACAGATGTAAGGAAATGCATCGAAATGTTTCTGCCCCGACAGGAATCGAACCCGGGCCCTCCATGTGTGAAGCGAAAGCTTTGCCAGCCAAGCCACGGGGTCACCAGTAAAGTTTTGTCCTTGGCTTCCCTGTTGAATAGAGTACAATATGTACTCATACTAATGGCAAGTTGCTGAACATTGATTTATGTCAGGTTGAGTACTTTCTTTGATTTGATTATAATAATAATTGATTTATGCCCTTGTATGGTAATACATAGAATTAAACTTAAGAGTAAATTTCGGTTCCGGTTCAGTACCTCAGTGTGTCATTATTTTTTTTTACTACGTGTCCGTAAGTATGTAAGTTTAATTAGGTACAGGTACACATAAATACAGTTACACAAATTATCATACATTGTAACATGTGTAAAATACCAAGGATAACCCTCAGCTTGCATACACATCTCCATACATCCACTGCTCCTGTAAGTTGTAATAATTTTTATACATGTAAACTCAATGAGCGTGTTAGATAGGAGTGAATGGAGACGAATGATACTTGGGACCTGACGATCTGTTGGAGTGTGAGCAGGGTAATATTTAGTGAAGGGATTCAGGGAAACCGGTTATTTTCATATAGTCTGACTTGAGTCCTGGAAATGGGAAGTACAATGCCTGCACTTTAAAGGAGGGGTTTGGGATATTGGCAGTTTGGAGGGATATGTTGTGTATCTTTATACGTTTATGCTTCTAAACTGTTGTATTCTGAGCACCTCTGCAAAAACAGTGATAATGTGTGAGTGTGGTGAAAGTGTTAAATGATGATGAAAGTATTTTCTTTTTGGGGATTTTCTTTCTTTTTTTTGGGTCACCCTGCCTCGGTGGGAGACGACCGACTTGTTGAAAAAAAAAAAAAAAAAAAATAAGAGTTATGCAGTATTAATCTAGATTTCAATGTGGTTCTGCTTGTAAGTCTGTAACAGAAATTATTATATTATAGTAAACTATTTAGAGTTTAATTAGGCAGGATTCATTACAACATTAAACCATTTGCAAAAATCAGATAGCGTGTTGATTTAGTAGAAAATACAGCATAGGAGGGCCCTGCTTATACAGCAGGTTAGGCTTTGGGCTACTGCTGTAAAGTGAAACATAGCCTTTTTTGGTGGTGGTGGTTTTTTTTTTTACTTACAAATGTATATAAAAGCCTCATAACATGTTTACGCTATCATATATTAAGTGAGCAACAAAACTGGGCCTGTATTCAGGAAACGTTTCGCCACACAGTGGCTTCATCAGTCCAATACAAAGAGGAAGGTGTAAGGAGAGGAGGAGAATGAGGTAATCAGTCCCTCAACCTGGAGTCGATGTGTTCAGTCCATCTATCTTGTAGAATGATGGACTGAACACATCGACTCCAGGTTGAGGGACTGATTACCTCATTCTCCTCCTCTCCTTACACCTTCCTCTCTGTATTGGACTGATGAAGCCACTGTGTGGTGAAACGTTTCCTGAATAAAGATTCCCATATGCTGCATAAGTGTCTCAATCTTCAACTTGTCGGTTTTTCAAACCATTCATCAAAACTGGGCCTAAATAATGCTTATACAGTACACATATAACTTAAAAAAAATTTCCTCCATAGCTTTTAGTGAGTGGTGAATATATTGTAGGAAGTCTGAATGAATGAAGACTGAGTAGAATTGAAAACTACTGAATTAGCAAAACACTGTGAAGTGAAGTGCCTGTGTTTAGTAATTATACCAATTTTAGTCTGACTCTTTAACTTGTAAGAAAATATAAGTACCATCTTAAAATTTAACTCTTTCATTGAATATAATAATCCTCTTTTTTTTTTTTTTAGGTCTTCAGTCCTATGGAATAACCTGTGATGAAATAAATTATGCGATCGGAACTCACGGACATTCCGACCATCTTGGAAACCTTAATCTGTTTACCAACGCTAAACATGTTGTTGGCTTTACAGTTTCACACAGAGACAACTTCTTCATCCATCCCTTCGAGACAGGTTTGTTCCAATTCCTTTTTATGTTAACTACCAGTATTCTTTTTGTGTTAATTACCAGTATTCTTTTTGTGTTAACTACCAGTATTCTTTTTGTGTTAACTACCAGTATTCTTTTTATGTTAACTACCAGTATTCTTTTTGTGTTAATTACCAGTATTCTTTTTGTGTTAACTACCAGTATTCTTTTTGTGTTAACTACCAGTATTCTTTTTATGTTAACTACCAGTATTCTTTTTATGTTAACTACCAGTATTCTTTTTATGTTAACTACCAGTATTCTTTTTATGTTAACTACCTGGAGTTTACCTGGAGAGAGTTCCAGGGGTCAACGCCCCCGCGGCCCGGTCTGTGACCAGGCCTCCTAGTGGATCAGAGCTTGATCAACCAGGCTGTTGCTGCTGGCTGCATGCAAACCAACGTACGAGCCACAGCCCGGCTGATCCGGAACTGACTTTAGGTGCTTGTCCAGTGCCAGCTTGAAGACTGCCAGGGGTCTGTTGGTAATCCCCCTTATGTGTGCTGGGAGGCAGTTGAACAGTCTCGGGCCCCTGACACTTATTGCATGGTCTCTTAACGTGCTAGTGACACCCCTGCTTTTCATTGGGGGGATGGTGCATCGTCTGCCAAGTCTTTTGCTTTCGTAGTGAGTGATTTTCGTGTGCAAGTTCGGTACTAGTCCCTCTAGGATTTTCCAGGTGTATATAATCATGTATCTCTCCCTCCTGCGTTCCAGGGAATACAGGTTTAGGAACCTCAAACGCTCCCAATAATTGAGGTGTTTTATCTCCGTTATGCGCGCCATGAAAATTCTCTGTACATTTTCTAGGTCGGCAATTTCACCTGCCTTGAAAGGTGCTGTTAGTGTGCAGCAATATTCCAGCCTAGATAGAACAAGTGACCTGAAGAGTGTCATCATGGGCTTGGCCTCCCTAGTTTTGAAGGTTCTCATTATCCATCCTGTCATTTTTCTAGCAGATGCGATTGATACAATGTTATGGTCCTTGAAGGTGAGATCCTCCGACATGATCACTCCCAGGTCTTTGACGTTGGTGTTTCGCTCTATTTTGTGGCCAGAATTTGTTTTGTACTCTGATGAAGATTTAATTTCCTCATGTTTACCATATCTGAGTAATTGAAATTTCTCATTGTTGAACTTCATATTGTTTTCTGCAGCCCACTGAAAGATTTGGTTGATGTCCGCCTGGAGCTTTGCAGTGTCTGCAATGGAAGACACTGTCATGCAGATTCGGGTGTCATCTGCAAAGCAAGACACGGTGCTGTGGCTGACATCCTTGTCTATGTCGGATATGAGGATGAGGAACAAGATGGGAGCGAGTACTGTGCCTTGTGGAACAGAGCTTTTCACCGTAGCTGCCTCGGACTTTACTCTGTTGACGACTACTCTCTGTGTTCTGTTAGTGAGGAAATTATAGATCCATCGACCGACTTTTCCTGTTATTCCTTTAGCACGCATTTTTGTGCGCTATTACGCCATGGTCACACTTGTCGAAGGCTTTTACAAAGTCTGTATATATTACATCTGCATTCTTTTTGTCTTCTAGTGCATTTAGGAGCTTGTCGTAGTGATCCAATAGTTGAGACAGACAGGAGCGACCTGTTCTAAACCCATGTTGCCCTGGGTTGTGTAACTGATGGGTTTCTAGATGGGTGGTGATCTTGCTTCTTAGGACCCTTTCAAAGATTTTTATGATATGGGATGTTAGTGCTATTGGTCTGTAGTTCTTTGCTGTTGCTTTACTGCCCCCTTTGTGGAGTGGGGCTATGTCTGTTGTTTTTAGTAACTGTGGGACGACCCCCGTGTCCATGCTCCCTCTCCATAGGATGGAAAAGGCTCGTGATAGGGGCTTCTTACAGTTCTTGATGAACACAGAGTTCCATGAGTCTGGCCCTGGGGCAGAGTGCATGGGCATGTCATTTATCGCCTGTTCGAAGTCATTTGGCATCAGGATAACATCGGATAGGCTTGTGTTAATCAAATTTTGTGGCTCTCTCATAAAAAATTCATTTTGATCTTCGACTCTCAGTCTGGTTAGCGGCTTGCTAAAAACTGAGTCATATTGGGACTTGAGTAGCTCACTCATTTCCTTGCTGTCATCTGTGTAGGACCCATCTTGTTTAAGTAGGGGCCCAATACTGGACGTTGTTCTCGATTTTGATTTGGCATAGGAGAAGAAGTACTTTGGGTTTCTTTCAATTTCATTTATGGCTTTTAGTTCTTCCCGTGATTCCTGACTCCTAAAGGATTCTTTTAGCTTAAGTTCGATGCTTGCTATATGTCTGACCAGTGTCTCCCTACGCATTTCAGATATATTGACCTCTTTTAGCCGCTGTTATTCTTTTCCGTCGCCTGTAAAGGGAGCGCCTGTCTCTTTCTGTTTTACATCTACTCCTCCTTTTTCTTAGAGGAATAAGCCTTGTGCATACATCGAGTGCCACCGAGTTAATCTGTTCTAGGCATAAGTTGGGGTCTGTGTTGCTTAGTATATCTTCCCAGCTTATATCGGTTAGGACTTGGTTTACTTGGTCCCACTTTATGTTTTTGTTATTGAAGTTGAATTTGGTGAATGCTCCCTCGTGACTAATCTCATTATGTCGGTCTGGGGCTCCGCGCATACATGACTGAGCCTCAATTATGTTGTGATCTGAGTATATTGTTTTTGATATGGTGACATTTCTTATCAGATCATCATTGTTAGTGAAGATGAGGTCTAGTGTATTCTCCAGTCTAGTAGGCTCTATTATTTGCTGGTTTAAATTGAATTTTGTGCAGAGATTTAAAAGCTCGCGTGAGTGTGAGTTTTCATCAGAGCTGCCTCCTGGTGTTATTACTGCAACAATATTATTTGCTATATTCCTCCATTTTAGGTGCCTTAAGTTGAAATCCCCCAGGAGCAAGATGTTGGGTGCAGGAGCTGGAAGGTTTTCCAGACAGTGGTCAATTTTTAACAGCTGTTCCTGGAATTGCTGGGATGTTGCATCCGGAGGCTTGTAGACTACCACAATGACTAGGTTTTGGTTCTCGACCTTTACTGCTAAAACTTCCACTACATCATTTGAGGCATTTAGCAGTTCTGTGCAAACAAGTGACTCTGCAAAGTACAGGCCAACCCCCCCCTTTTGCCTGTTCACTCTGTCACATCTGTATAGGTTGTAACCTGGGATCCATATTTCGTTGTCCAAGTGATCCTTTATGTGGGGTCTCAGTGAAAGCCGCGAACATTGCCTTTGCCTCTGCAAGCAGTCCACGGATGAAAGGTATTTTGTTGTTTGTTGCTGGCTTTAGACCCTGTATATTTGCAAAGAAGAATGTTATCAGACTGGTGGTATTGTTGGTACTGGGGGGGGATTTTTTTTCTGGCATTAGTATCTGTATCTGTTGGTTTGGAGTGGAGGCCATCGACTGTGGTTCCACTCCAGGAATGACTGGATTTGGTGTACGTTTTCTGCCATTTCCTGCCAGTTTTTTTTCCTTCCTGGCACTAAAAAACTTCTCCCTCTTGAGTGGCTGTGGCTACCCAGGTTTTCCCATGGCCTGGATGTTTTGTATCTTTTTGTCCCCTTTAGATGGTATGCCTGGCAATTTAAGTTATAGCACAGTCTTTCCTGTACTGAAGAGGTACACAGTTCAGGGTGAAAAAGCTTACAGGAAGGGAGTTTGCGTTTTCCTGTTGTCATATGGGCATGGCATTTTCTAGGGTGGTCATAGTTGCACGTCCCATCTGTTTTTCCAGATTTCCCATGCCAGCAGATACCGAGTGCATAGTATGTGCACAGGCTTGGTTTTCGTTTGCCTTGGGTTTCTGTGACTGTATTCCCTGTTGGTGCATGTTTCCCTGTCTTACTTCTATCCTCCCTAGCACCAACAATGGAGCTCCCACCAGTTGTTTTTGGTAATATATCCTCACTATTGCTAGTGGAGTCCTCTTGTTTGCTATTTCCTGCGGTATTTCTAGTTTGCAATATTGGTTTTATCTTATCTTTGACTACACTTGTTTCCCTACTATGGCTCCTGTCCCCTATGAGGTCATTTATGTGTATTCCTTCCTGCGTATAATTCCCGACTACCTGGACAAAATCTCCAACTTCACCATTACTGTCTCCCAGGACAGCATCTCCAGCTTCCCCATTACTGTCTCCCAGGACAGTATTCTTTTTGTGTTAACTTCCAGTATTCTTTTTCATCTAGGCAGCCTTTAAAGGGGTCTTTTGATGCTGGTAAATGGCTCTTCATGCAAAGAAGTGAGGCTATATCTCCCGTTCCTTTTGAAAAACATGATCACCATGGCTGTAGTGCTTCCTTATTACTTATCCATCTCCCTTTTGCCACCTGATGCCCTCGCTTCCTTCCTGCCCTGCAGCGCTGTATAGTCCTTGTGGCTTAGCGCTTCTTTTTGATTATAATAATAATAATGTAGTGCTTCTTTATGAATACAGGTATTCCTCACTTAATGACCGAGTTCCGTTCCTAAGACTAAGTCAGTAAGCGAATTGGTTGTTAAGTAACCGGTGAACTTACTACACACACACAAATCTGTAGGGTCATATATGGGGGGAAAAATGGGAAGTAATTAAGTTTGATCCATGGAATGGTTAGATACATCCAATTCCTTAGAACAAGCAGCACTTCACCAGCATCAACATCCCTCCCCCCCCCCCTTACCTTGAAGGGTTTACTAAAGATAAAATACCTTCATTTCAGGAGAGGCATTTAAGATAGACGAGAGCGTGGAAGTGATCCCCACTCCCGGCCACACTTCCAACGATGTTAGTGTTGTGGTCAAGACTCAGCACCTCACAACAGTTATTGCAGGTTGGTCTTATTATTATTACAATCATAACTAAGCACTAAACCCACAAGGGTCATACAGTGTTGGATGTGCTAAAGATGTAATATGCTAGATCAGAGGGTGAAGAAGGGTATGCTGGAGGTAGTCAGTAGGGACAGTGAGACGTGCTAAGGATGTAATATGCTAGATCAGAGAGGGTGAAGAGTATGCTGGAAGTAGTAGGGGCAGTGAGAAGTGCTAAAGGAAAGGTGTAATAAAGGTCGTCAAAAGTGGGCAGGTTGGTCTTAAAAGTTTTGAAAGTATTACATTGACGGGTGAGTGCACTTCCTGTCATGCAGTGCCAGGGAAATGGGAGGAAATCTGGTTTGATCCAAGGAATGGGAGGTTATTATTATATTTAGGTTGAAGTACTAAATCCATATTGTCACAGTACCAAAATGGAAGAGTAATTTCGGTTCCTTTAATCAAGAGCCCTTCAGTACTAATATTTCCCTTGAAGGATATATTATTATTATTATTACAGTCAGAATTAAGTACTAAACCCACAAGGGTCTTGAAGAGTATGAAATGTAAGTAATTACATGCTATCTCACAGTCAACACTTAAAAACCTTGGCTTTCTAGTATTTTTGTTTGTAATTTTTTTTTTTACAGGTGACCTTTTTGAAAGAGAGGAGGATATTACAGATCCATCACTTTGGAAATATGTTGCAGGAAGTGAGAATGCAGAATTACAGGAAAAGCACCGTAATAAGGTACTTCTTTTGGCAGATTACATTATTCCAGGCCATGGTCCTATGTTTAAGGTCACCAAAGGTATGAAAGAAGCAGCCAAAGCATCATCAATTACTGTTAAGTAATTAAAATGCTGTGAAATATTCCCATGTATATTCCTACTAAGTATTCACTGTAGAAAGATAATTCTTAGTCTCTCTGAAAAACTGCCTCACATTATCATGTCTCAGTTATTGAAAGGATCAACTTTGCCAGTGACAGTGGAAAAACAAAGTTGGAGATGCATTGGGACCTATCCAATAAGTCTCCATTTGAATCCACACACAATTGAAACTGGACCTTCAAGCCAGAAAAATAATATAGACCAAGAGTTGGAGTTTACCCCCCATACACAAATGGATAATGTGAGGTGGTTCACAATGACTTATTTCCATAGATTTATTATATACTTTTGAGATCAACAAAAGAAAAAACACCTTTTCATAAATGCTTTATTTACTTCACTATTTTGATACAAAATATATAATTGATATAATTACAGTTACAAGATGCACCTGTACTGACCACTCTTATAACAGACAACAATCTCTCTTCTGGGTAACCAAATTAAAACTCGTACAAGTATTTTGTCAGCAAACAATAATTGCCACAGAACATGAAACACACCAATTATGGCATGATACAAAAATAAATGTACTGCATAAAAGATGGATAAGATTTGCATGTGTCAATCACAATCCAAGCACTACCACCCAACTGTCGAGTTATATCAAAATAACTCGTCCACAGAAATGTTTACTCAGTAATAAAAAAAAAAAAACTCGTTCTACATTATTAGATCTGTAATAAACTTTTGGAAGACATGATGTTTAATGATCTCTATCTAAGCGAGCTTCCCATCATATACCATACTTTTTCTTTCATTAACTGCTTTCTAATTCAACATTCATGTATTAAGTAAAAAAATAAAAAATACTATTTTTAATGATTTGTGGCAATTAACTGACTTATGTTGAATTTACTTGTACTATCATATATTAATAATTTTACTTTATAAATATAGTATTTAAGCTATTGATTATTATGCAGAAAAAATTCTTGATAAATTATCAGTAACAATATAAATTTTGTAATATTTCAAGATTTCTATTCAGTTGACTGACAGCTCTTATAAATATAATAGTAATTTTCCTATTTATTACTGCAAAAGAAATTAGAACTGTAAACTCATACACAAAGTAATTCAATGAACTATAATGCAATCACAGATAATAGAAAAATATAATAAAATTTTTCTGTTGAAATGACCTCACATGAACATGACACAACCAAAAATATCTTTGTACTTTATTTACCCCTTACCTGGGCTAACCCATCCAGAAAATGTAGGCTCAAACCAGGGTCCCTAGATAACAATCAATACAAATAAATTTGTAATATGAAGTGTCTTAAAATTATTACTAAAACCAAGATTTTTCTTGGCTCTGAGAAATAATACATTTCCCATACAACATATGAAGCATTAAGACTGAAGTATGAAATGCATTTTCTAAGAGACCAAACTGGGTATATAGAAAACATGGTTTCAATAAGATGGAATGTATTAAGCTTCTCACTACACTAAGAGATCACACAGGAATTGTATACAGTATATAATTATCCAAAGGTAAAAGCATTCTAAAACCATTTTAAATATAAAAGTATTCAATAGCCACAGGAAGTTTTGAAAAGAAAAAAGAAAAAAAAAAACTAATACATAGAATATCAATTTCTGACTTTTCTTTTCGTATCTAATGAACAACAAAATTAGAAAAATTTAACATAACATTTTACACTGTTGACATTATCTAGTCAGGCACATGGTGACGCAAAATAAATACTGTATAACAAGCTTGATACCACATATGTTTACATAGCTGAGGCTTTGTGAGTATTCTGAATACAACAGCAAACCTGTGAACTATATGGAAAAAATTTTATTGAATAAATTATTTGGGGAAACCATTCACATTACAGTGCTAACACACACCTGTTGCGACTTGAATTATATTTCTTATATTCGTGGGAAAGTGGTAAGCCCTTAGGGGTTCAGTGTCTGGGGAATGGGTATCATATGCACGCAGGCATACACAGGCGCACACAGTCATAAAACATTTTTATTAAAAACAAAGCAAACTTTAACACATGGACAATGCCATACATAATACTGCAACTGGGTATACAAAAATAACTTATTCCAATAAATAGAAAACTATTTACTGTTTGTACAAACCTTTCATTTTTAACTAAATAATGTCATAAGTAAAAGAAATCATCTAATTACACTAATACATACAAGTCACATTTGCATAAAACAACAAAAAAATGTATATACTGTATACCAAAATTCAATTGGCAATCAGATAAACTACATAAAAAAATACAGGATACATTTTTTTTTTTTTTCAAATTATCCTGCACATGGCCATATACCAAGGTGGACTCTCTCTGGGGTGAAAATAAGTAATTTTGGCCTTTTCTGTGGCAGTGTACTACTATCCTTTTCATACTGGAGTAAAGAATTCGCCATCTTTTTTATTTGGCCTTGCAATGTATGCTCTAATTAACGATGTCGCCTACCAGCAAGCGTCACAAAACTCATCGTGAGAGTGATAGTGGTCCCACAATTGCACGGACGACAGCCGGTACATCCTTTTTAGTGAACAAAAAGTTATATTACCATTAAATTTCATAGCCACTTTCACGATATTTAGCAGAGGACAGAGAAACTGGTGTAAAGAGAGATATGGAATAACTAAATGACACTTTCCCAAGGAAATGTATTAATTTGTTATGCTATTCTACCTTCACACTACTGTATTTATAAGGAATCTAAACCCACAGGGATCATACAGGTCCTGGGGAATGGAAGGTAAACAAACAGGTTTGATTCAAGGAAGGCATAGGTAGTTTCAATTTCTTGGCTCAAGAACCCTTCTCCAGCATGTAGACACCCTCCTTGAGAGGGTCTCCATCCAAAATACTAGAGAGCCCAAAGTAAGCCAAGAGTGGCACCCCAGGAATGTTGCACATGTACCTGTCAATGAGCTACAGTGAAGTCCCTGACTATGATGCCCACCATTTTCAATGAGGATAATCTTTCTTTGCCATCGCTAACATGGCAGTAAACAAGGTAAGCTAAACAATACTATATTAAATCTGGTCAATCAACAAGATGTCAATAAATGGTTAACAAAACTGACAGCTTGATAAATGAGACACTTGTGTAACATTTGGGTATCCTATTCTGGAAATGTTTTGCCAGCCAGTGGATTCATCAGTCCAGTGCAGAGAAAGGTGGAAGTTGAGAAGACTGAGGTAATCAGTCCCTCAACCTGGAGTTTAGGGACTGATTACCTCAGTCTCTTCCTCAACTTCCACTTTCCTCTGCATTCGACTGATAAAGACACTGGTGGGCAAAATGTTGCCAGAATAAAAAATACCCGAATGCTACACAAATGTCTCGCTGATCAATCAACAGATGAATAAGAACAAATCAAAATAATGAATGAGTACAGCACTGGAATTCATTTGTAATCTGTAGTGTTCAACTAAATTTCTGTAAAACCAGAGTAGAGCATCCTCAATTATTCTTTCAGCTAATAATATACAAGTTAGCTTTGGCTGCGAGTTTAAATGCTGCTGACAACAATGGCTAAACTTGTTTGCTATAATAAACATGGAATTAGTTGTATATGAAATAATTCTCTACCATGTAGATGAATGGTTCAGAGAACCGACACGTTGATAAATTAGACACGTGCAACTCTTGGGTATCTTTATTGAGGAAACATGTGTCTAATTTATCAACATGTCAGTTCTCTGAACCATTCATCTACAAACCTGTCAGACACTGCAACTTCTTGGGATCTTAATACTTGGGAATTCTTCACTTGCCTAATTCTTGGGCACGACCTACTTCCACATTGAACAAATGTGACACCACCTACGACTGCTGCACCTCTCCTGCCAACGATTTATAAGCTCCTTCTTCGCACATATGCTGTATTCTATTCAAGATTGATGGACTGACCACATCGACTCAAGGTTGAGGGACTGATTACCTCATTCTCCTCCTGTTCTTCAAGATTCTCCTTTGTATGGACTGATGAAGCCACTGTGGGCGAAACATTTCCTCAATAAAGATACCCAAGAGTTGCACAGGTGTTTAATTTATCAATTCTCTACCATACTGATCTCACCAGCAGTAACCAAATATATAAAAAAAATATAAATAAGCACAATGAAAAATAAAAGTATTGACTATTCACTTCTATAAATATTTACAGTTAATTAGTGCTTGCACTTTTACTTTTGCACTCATTACTACAAATTTAATTAGACAATTAATATTCTGAGCTCAGGCACACAAAATACCATCTCAGTTCAAGTATTCAGCTTAGTAATATGCAAGAACTTAATCTAATGTCAGAATGTATATTACAATCAAAACTAAGCGTAAACCCATATGGGTCTGTCAGAGCACAACTTTGTAAGGATGTAGCAACTTAACAAATTGTGAAATATTTTATGTATTATACAGCTTTATTTTGCAATACATTGTATGCTTCAACTTAGCTATCAATATAAAAAAGTGTAAAAAATTCTTGATATAAAAATACTTGACCCCAAGAATACATTTACTGTATACAGAATCTATGAAGTGAACCATTGTTATCTATTAGCAAAATTAAGGTTAACAATTGTAGGCACATCTATAGTTGTTGGATGCTGCTCTGGGTTGTGTAATATACTGAAGGAGCTTTGGTTATATTTACAAGACAAGACATTAGATACTTCACCACAGACCCACGTGCAAGTTAATCATCACAACGACACAAAGTTAGGAACTGCAAGTGTTCTTGGGAAATAGCAAGAATAGCTCACATTATGCTTTCGAAACATTCTCTCCAGTGAATTTTATACCAGAAAAATGTAGGATGTGTTATGGTATTTAAAATATTCTTTAATAAAAAAATCTAATTATTAGTGCATGCATGCGTTCCCTTCTCCTTCAGTGACCACTTTCAAGATGGCGACACACATACTAACCCAGACTCTACCTCCTTCCCCACACCCAACTGATGAGCAAAATGCTGTAGTAGTACAAAGGAAAAAAAAATGCAGTGTATGATAAAAGAAAGTAAGCTGTAGATGGACATTCAAACAAGAGTGATGAGCTGAAGAAACAAATAGCTGAAGTAACTCCAGACAGCATAGTTATCACAGAGGCAAAGCTGAGCTATATAATAGTAGATATCATATTTCAGCTGCCTTATCAAGTGATAAGGAGACAGGGAAGGCAACGTTAAAATTTTCTGATTTGTTGTGCAGCATTTATTTTTTAACACATCAGCCATTTCCCACCAAGACAGGGTGACCCCAAAAAATCATAAGACAGTGATAGTGAAAGTGTTTGCCAGAGGGGTACTCGTACTACAGTCAAGAACTACAAAAATTCCCACCCTTCCTAAATGACACTCCCCCCCCCCTTTAAAAAAAAAATCAGTGAACACCATTCCTAAACATCCTGATGCAGGAAGCTCCTGACTTATAAACTCGCTGAGTTCCTGATATTTCAACTTACAAACGAGTTGTTTGTAAAGAAAACAACATAAAGGATGGATATGTTTCAGTCCTGTTGGTATTACAGCAGATGTAAAACCTTAACTGGTTTGTACGTGCTGCCTGTAAGTGAGGATATAGTTAACCGAGAAATTCTGTATAGGTCATCACCCTATAATAGCCTCTATAGAAAGTATCTTGAACACGTCACTTTAAGTGAAAGAGTAAGGCCACTTAATGCTCTTGACAAAAAAAAAATAATTTGCAAGACTCTACTAAGCACAGAATTCCACAAGTGATTTAGCCACATGTTACTTCCAACATTGTTATGGAAAAGTAGCAAGTATTTGCCATATATAAAATTACAGCTTGTAAAATTAGTAACCACTATTTGAGATTGTATCGTATTGTTTCCCAAAGACACGCAGTACTGTATTTTGTGGAAAAAAAAAAAAAAAACTGAAGGTACTGTACCTACATACTTGTGTTCAATAGTTACAGAAGAAACCAGGTCTTTGTCTTTCTACTTTTAAAACATGACATGTATAACCTTCATTTAATACAAGATACAAGCAAGACCCATGAAAGCTTGAAACTATTTCAGGCTTCCCCTCTGTGAAAGATTGAAATACACAATATACAGTTAAATAAGGTTTTTGTTTAGTTATCTTGGGCTAAAATATATTTTGCTCTTCAGGCACATTTTTTCCTGAACTATTCAACCTACTTAATGTACAGTAATTTCATTACTTCCCTATTCAAAGATGAACATTTTAAATTATTTTATACTGTAATTCAGTCTTAAACAGCTAGAATAAAATTTTTTACAGTACATTACACTAAATACTGCCAAGCAGCCCACATAGTCAATATTTTACGACTATGATAAAAGTTTTTAAAGAAAAATGCTGTATGAATCTCCCAGGACAATGCCAGAGTACACCCGTTTTACGAGCACAGTACAACGCAAGGTAGATACCAAACAAGTACAGAATGCTAACAACTCCCCCAACTCTGCCATTACAATTACTAGCAGTAAACTCCACAGTTACAAATGTAAATGTACACTTAACTGTGCACCTGAAAAAAAAGAGTACAAACTTGTTTCAATGCATTCTTTCTCATTGAACACTTATTGTAATCTCCACCAAAACTACTCATCTCTGTGCTTCATTATTCTGCACTGTTAATACTTACCTACCTTACAGGATGAAACACTTATTAGCCTCTATGTTGCAAGAAGGCTCTTAAAAGATTCTAAACGGCCACCAGTTTTCTCACTCTTGCCAGTGATGAGCATTCTTGTCTTAGACAAATTATTGTTTGTGCTTCACATCTAGAAATTAAAGTACCATTAATATAGGCAAGATGTACAGGCTACATTTTTCATTTAGTATCATAAAAAATAAACTTGAATGAATGATGAATAATCTTGAAAAATATTGTCTATAGGTTAAGAAAGGCAATTCATTGCATATAATATACAGCAACTTTTTATCCTATTTCTGTCTACATTTTTAAAAACGGTAATATTCTTTCACAGTAATTTATAATTTATTCAGTTTTTTTGGGGTAACTAAACAAAACCAAAAGGCTTACCAAATATAATTTTAGTTTGTAAAGACACCATGCCAGACATACACACTGCCTTCTTCTCTTCTGACTTCCAGGGCACCGCGTCCAGAATTTGTAAGTTGATACTGAAAAACAATTACTCCAATTATTTATCTTGGCTGGCTACATAAAGGATAAATTTACATTTTATATGAGCCTGCACTCTGAAGGAGGGGCGAGGAAATGTTGCATTTAAAAGCCTCTCAAAATATTAATAGTTCATGGCTTTTGGCTAAGTAAGAAATAAATATTGAAGTTTGCACTACCAGCTGGTGTAAATCAGAGTTTTTCAATAGAACCAGTCATATTCCTTGCATTACTTACTAGAAGGCAGAAAATATTAAAGAATTTAGAGGCAAAGCCCTCACATATTAAAAAATGTCTAAATAACCAAACAATGACGACATACGTACTGCATTACCAAAACTTCTAGCCTTACACATTTGCCTACTGTAAGGAACTCATTACTGCTGTAATGTGCTTAATACAATTCTTCTGATTCAGGACTATGACCCCCATATTAAAACAAACATTTTTATAAACAGCCACAAATAGGCTGCTAAAGCACAATTTCTTCATGATATTCAGAACAAAGCATATTTGAGATGTTGCTCAAACAAACATTCCAATATAATTCACAACAAACCAACAATCTGGAGTTGAAATGTTTGATGGTATTTTGGTCTGTCCCGGCCCATTAACAAGTCACAACAGTGAGAGAGAAAAGATGAGAAAATAAGAGACAGTATAAAGTGAAGAAGCAAGGAGAATGATAGATGGGTCAGGTGAAGAAAAAATACCAAAGACAGGTCAGAAGTGAGGGGGATGGAGGAGTGGAGGAGAGGAGGGGAGAAGATCCTCCAAATGTTTCCTCTCTAAACTGTGAGTTAGTTATTGTCTCAGTAATGAAAATCTTACATTTGTCACCCCAATATAATACTAAATATGACATCTCAAAGCCACCACAAGGAGACGGAAATGACACAATATGTAATATAATCTTAAAGCAATAGCATATTAAGTACAGTGGACCCTCGGTTATCGGCCATAATCCATTCCAGGAGTTTGGCCGATAACCGAAATGGCCGAAAACTTAATTAATATTTCCCATAAGAATTAATGGAAATACAATTAATCCGTTCTAGACAAAAATATTCACAAAAAAATAATTTTTTTAACAATTATGCAAGTTTTACAGACCTTTATTGAAGGCTAATGCTGGCTTCTGGAAGATAGGGAAGAGGAAAGAGGGAGGAGTAAGTGTTTGGAAGGGGACTCCCCCTCCATAAAGACTTCAGGTAGCAAAGCCTTCTCTGGGGTTACTTCCCTTCTTCATCTTTTAATGCCGCTAGGACCAGCTTGAGAGTCACTGGACCCCTGCCTCACAACAAATCTGTCCATAGAGGTCTGTTTCTGGTGTCTAAGATTTCCCTGAAGTGGGACAGGGTTTTGTCACTGAACATGTTGCAGATATGGCTTGTTTCAGCTTGGCCAGGGTGGTGTTTCTCTACAAAAGCTTGCACCCTAGTCCATATTGCACACACCTCTTTAATCTGTCGTTTACTGCTACAGTACATTCATTAAAATATTTGTAGTCTTAATGTAGGGCAAGAGGTGAGTAGTATTTATTTGTAGGAAGTCAGTGTAGGTAGCAGTAGATGTAGGTATGTACACACATGTAGCCCCCCCCCCCCCGGGCTACACTACACAGCTATATTACAATGCACAGCCATATTATTACACTACATAGCCATATTATTACCATGTTCATTGAGTTTAATCGTTTCTAACAACTACTTTTAGATGCCATCATACCCAAAGGGAAAAGTAATGAATAATTCATGCCAAAAATTGTAAACAAATGCATATGAAGGGCAGTTAGTGCACCAGTTACCAGATTCACAGTTTTCTCTAATGCTGCATCAGAGAAAATGTAATGTTTACTCTCCATCCCACTCTCCACTCGATTACATATAAACATTGCATGTTTATATGTTATCGAGTGTAGAGTGGGATGGAGAGTAAACATTACATTTTCTCTGATGCAGCGTTAGAGTTTATATGTTATCATTTATATTATCGTTTATATGTTATCGAGTGTAGCATATAAACATTGCATGTTTATATGCTACATGATATTTAACGTGTTTCTTATATAATTTTGAAGAAAATATCACAGATGGATTAATGAAAATGTCTATATTAACGTAAAATAAAACATTTAATGTGCCAAAGAGTGATTATTAAATATACATCGCATTTAATAAACATTGCATGTTTATATGCTATGCAACATGTTTCTTACATAATTTTGAAGATATAATAGATGGATTAATGAAAATATCTATATTAACGTAAAATAAGACATTTAATGTACCAGTGATTATTAATAAATATAAATCACATATAAACATTGCATGTTTTCATGTACTATGTAACGTGTTTCTTTAGGCCCATGGTTGCTTATTTTGCAGTTGTACTCCATCAATAACCACAAAAAACAATGGATTATAGGAAAATGTTTGGATAACTGAGCAGAAGCTTCCTCACTTGCCCAGAGACAAAGCCAAACTGACTCGCAAGCGGCCCCAGTCGGCGGATGGATGTTCCCAAACGGCCGATAACCGGGCGCCGAAAAACTGGCCAATAACCGAGTTTGCCGATAACTGAACCGGCCGATAACCGGGGGTCCACTGTATATGGCAATTCCTTTTAGCTGGCATTAAAATAATAAAGGGCACGACCATTTTTGAACTTCAAGTAAACCATAAGATGACAACATTTCATTATTTTTTAACACACCAGATGTCTCCCACCGAGATAGTGTGACCAATAAAAGAAGAAACTTTCTGGTCTTTCATTCAATCACTGTCCTGCCAGAAACATGTTGACCACACAGCAACACCACCACTCCTCCAGAGTGCAGGCATCATACCTCACATGTTGACCACACAGCAACACCACCACTCCTCCAGAGTGCAGGCATCATACCTCACATGTTGACCACACAGCAACACCACCACTCCTCCAGAGTGCAGGCATCATACCTCACATGTTGACCACACAGCAACACCACCACTCCTCCAGAGTGCAGGCATCATACCTCACATGTTGACCACACAGCAACACCACCACTCCTCCAGAGTGCAGGCATCATACCTCACGTGTTGACCACACAGCAACACCACCACTCCTCCAGGGTGCCGGCATCATACCTCACGTGTTGACCACACAGCAACACCACCACTCCTCCAGAGTGCAGGCATCATACCTCACATGTTGACCAGACAGCAACACCACCACTCCTCCAGAGTGCAGGCATCATACCTCACATGTTGACCAGACAGCAACACCACCACTCCTCCAGAGTGCAGGCATCATACCTCACATGTTGACCAGACAGCAACACCACCACTCCTCCAGAGTGCAGGCATCATACCTCACATGTTGACCACACAGCAACACCACCACTCCTCCAGGGTGCAGGCATCATACCTCACATGTTGACCACACAGCAACACCACCACTCCTCCAGAGTGCAGGCATCATACCTCACATGTTGACCAGACAGCAACACCACCACTCCTCCAGGGTGCAGGCATCATACCTCACATGCTGACCACACAACAACACCCCCACCCCTCCTCCAGAGTGCAGGCACTGTACCTCCCACCTCCAGGACAAGTTCAATTAACCAGTTTCCCTGCACCCTTTTATATTACTTAGCTCACACTCCAACAGCACATGACAAGGTCACATGCCTGTTAAACATCCCAGCCACTTGCACCCCATATCTATGGTGTGGATGGCAGACAAAAGCATAGAGGCACATAATGGATCCAGAGACTGTGTGCCATCTTGAAACATTCTTAAGATAATATCTGTAAACTGCACCTCAAAAGAAAAGCTATTAAATGAAAAGTAAAAAATATAAACTGACAAAAACTTATTCTCAGAGCATTGAGGACTGTAACCTCTCTCTTCTCTCCACTTGTTACAGTTCTTTTATGTTTTACACTTCTTCCAGATATCACAAGCTACAAAATGATTATAGCTATACTGAACTAGAACAAAATCATAGATAAGAGAACTTACCTCATCATCAGCAGTGACCAGGGTGGCATGGCTACCATGTGGTGAGGACGCCACTTGGTCCTGGGTGATCATGCGAGGAATTATATTGAGATTGATGGGCTGGTGAGTGGCACTGTCCATAATGATAACCTCTGGGCTCAAAGCTGCAGCCGTACACCCAGGAGAAACAGGGCCAGTAGTTAATGCTAAGTTCCCGGACACTGGAACTGTCACATGCTGCAAATATTTTTTATTTTACAAATTCATTCATCAGAATAATAAAAAACTATGCTTAAAGAACATTTAGTAAAATGGATTTATTTTGTGTTAAGCCAGGAAGCGTAAGGATAATGCATACTGAAAAGGTAGCCCGTGATCTTAAAATAGTTATGTACCTTGAAAAAAAGTGTAAACAAAATTTCACAATGTGAATTGCAATTTCCCATAGGCTGCATGTCTAAGGACGGCCCATTTGCCTCAGACTACAAGCTTGATGTCTTAACTATCAAGGAAGTGCATGACAACACAGTCACCTCTCATATGTATTACATCTGCAGAATTATAATTTGAAATCTCAGTTTGTACAGATCCATGAATGTAGGGTATATAAGCTACACTGCCATGAAATTAGAGTTGACAAAGGGATTTCTCTAAAATGCAAGTTTAAGAAACAATGTGAATATTCTCACATTAAAATGTATATGCACCTGGTATCCACAGAGGCACAAGCACCTGGTATCTACAAAGGCACAAGTCTATACCCCTACCATTCCATTTTTCATTTGCACATCCAGTGGCAGCCCAATTAACTGTAATATGCTCATACAAAAATAAAGTCAACTGCCAGTTTTTCTGATACAAAAATGGTAAATCATCAGATATATGGGCTTATGTATAAAAAAAAAAAATTGGCAAAAAATGAACAAAGACAAGAACATTCAACTGACATGTGCCTCAAGTAAGTGGATTATGTTTAGCCTTACGGTTGTCAAATGTCACCTGTTGTAGGCAAGCTCAATTAGCACTTCCCTTCATACACATTCAGTGAGTGGTAAGTGCAATAATGTAAACCCAGCCAATAAGTAGAAGTGCACAACTCCTTGGGAATGCTCTGAGCCAGGAATGTCTATATAAGGAATATATGATCATATGTCATAGGCTATGATGGGGAGTCATATCCACTGCGTATCTAACAGTACCCTCATTGGTCAACATTACCAGTTAAGCCACTATTACTTATAACTATCATCAATGATGTTCAAAACATTTATATTACCATTCTGCCTCTTAGAAGACTTCCTGAATATCAAACTGTTAATAGACCAAATGATGGATAAGCACATTTTAAACTAAAATACCAAAATCTCTCAAAATAATTTTCAACTGATAGTCTTTTACGCATGCAGTCAAAATATTTAACTTAAATATTATCAGACTATCATCTGACATAGTACTCAGTGCTCATCATTCAAGTACACCAGCCTCCGCCCCCCTCTAAAATAACCACAGAACAGGTAGTCCCTTGGGCTCTTAGACATCTTTCAACCGTCTACAAAGTGATTAATATACATTTTTCAGGGTTTCGTGAAGTAAATTATCCCGCAACTTGAGGATGGCATCCTAAAGCTGTAAGAGTGGGCTGATATAAGAACATAAGAAAGAAGGAACACTGCAACAGGCCTACTGACCCATGCAGAGCAGGTCCATCCCCCCCCCGGATTAGCCCAATGACCCACCCAGTCTGGTCACCTCCACTCAAGGAAGGAGCACGTCACCAGACCCAGCAGCACAAGCTAGTCAGGTCCAACTCACACCCACCCACACCCACTCATGTATTTATCTAACCTATTTTTAAAACTACACTATCTCGAGTAGTGTATTTATCTAACCTATTTTTAAAACTACACTATCTCGAGTAGTAGATCTCTATTACACCCCAGAGGTTCACATGGACTTCAAGTCTGGGGAATATCTTGGCCAGTCATTAACCCTTTGACTGTTTCAGGCCCCTCTCTGAAACTGTCATTCTATGTCGCTCAATTTTTGAAAAAAAAAAAAAAATTATTTTTTCTTATGAAATGATAGAGAATCTTTTCCCGATGGTAATGACACCAAAAGTTCAAAATTTGGTTGAAAACTCATGGAATTATGCTCCCGCGAAGTTAGCGGTCTCGGCGACATATGTGCATCGGCGATTTCGCCGACTTTGAGCCCTATTTTCAGCCAATTCCATTGTTCCAGTTGACCAAACTCATAGCTATTTCTTTAGAACTCCATTTTATCTATCAGCTGAGTACAAGAAACCTCCCATTTACTAATTTGGACTACCCAATATGGTGGTCAGAAATTGGCAATTTGGCCAATTTCACGTAAACTAAAAAAGATGCCAATTTCAAAATAGGGTCCAGAATAAACAAGGTAGACATTCGTGGCACTAACATAACATATGCTCTGTTCATTAGTCATATCTCTAGGCCCCTCTTATATTATTATTGCTTTCTATTTTGATTTTTTATTCATACAAAAAAATACAAAATTTACTGTTATGCAGACTACTGCATTATTGTAAAATGGTATAAATAATATCAGTGCACTAGTGAAAGAATATTAGACTCCCCAGTTGACGTGTATTGGACGTGTGGTGTGATTTATTTACTCCTGAACATTGGTAAAAATCAAACATTTCCGCTACTTTGAGCTCAGTTTCAAGGTCGTTTTCATTGTCAAAGTAATGAAAATCATCTCTATTTCTGTAATATGTTTTCCATTTTATCACCTAAGACCATGAAAACACGAATACAACGATAAATACTATACGAAAATACACCTCAAAGTCGGCGTTTTATTCCAAAAAAACGATCAGTTTTTTTTTTCTCATTACGCAATGTGTGCTGCAGGATTTTTTTTATGTGGTGCACACTGACCACACAGACCCATTCTCTCACATGTGGGCCTACCAGCTTTCTCCCGCTTGATTTGAAGCCGCTAGAATTATTGAGTATATATACATCAGAAACATTGCTCGTAAGACGTATTTATACGTCAAAAACAGTCAAAGGGTTAAGGAAGGTTACCTCACTAGCTACGAGGTCACAAAATGACAATTCTCAGTGCATTATTACAATTAACGTAATAACATACCATGATATCCTTAGAAGTACTTTTGGTGTGAGCATATCACTGACACTGACCTCAAGGAACCAACACAACTAGGTCCTCACTGGATACCCACACAATCAGTGCCATGTACTATTTCCTTCATTTGATGGTCTGCCTTATGTAATCTGACTATCTTTGGAACTGTCTCATGTCAGCGACTTACTCCTGCCCATGTTAATTCATCAATATGCAGGCTCATATAAAATGTACGATAAACTCGGCCATCAAGATCACACAGCACAGAAGTACCATAAACACAAAGTTATCCACTAAACAAAGCTAGAAGGCAATTACAGTGCAGCGAGTAGCCTTGGGGAATCTCGAGACGTCCTCCTTTGAGTTGCAAGGTCAGTGCAACTTTTCATCTCATTGACAAACCTATCAAGATAGGGTATTACTTTGGACACTGAATTATGCCAGGTGCCTTCCACCCAGTGCTCTTTAATGATGAGTGCTGTATACCTCCCCATAACAACACTTGTGCTGATGGTAGCAGAGGCTGATATTTATCACTATTTACAGAATGGAAAAAATAATTAACATCACACAGCAGCTCAGAATATATCCTAGGATAGTAACACCAGTTAACTTGTAGCCAAAGTGTGGATTCAAGCTCAATATAAAATTTTTTTTTTTTCAACAAGTCGGTCGTCTCCCACCGAGGCAGGGTGACCCAAAAAAGAAAGAAAATCCCCAAAAAGAAAATACTTTCATCATCATTCAACACTTTCACCACACTCACACATTATCACTGCTTTTGCAGAGGTGCTCAGAATACAACAGTTTAGAAGCATATACGTATAAAGATACACAACATATCCCTCCAAACTGCCAATATCCCAAACCCCTCCTTTAAAGTGCAGGCATTGTACTTCCCATTTCCAGGACTCAAGTCCGACTATATGAAAATAACCGGTTTCCCTGAATCCCTTCACTAAATATTACCCTGCTCACACTCCAACAGATCGTCAGGTATAATATAAATGCCTGCATAATAAGTGTACCTGTACAAGTGAATTTCACAGTGCTGCCAAGAACTGTAAGAGGATTCACAATCAGTAGAAACACTGGTATCTTTGTACACCACAACACCCAGATATTGAGATAAAATACTCCCATGAAATCCCATTTGGTTCTCCAGCTTCTTAAGGCCATGTACTCAAAACATAAGAGTTTCCCACCTAATCCCAAAACAAACAAATTCTTTAATGAAGACTCGTTTCACCTGTGACTGTCTGTGGGCTGGTGGTGGGTGGACTGCAGCTGCAACCTGCGCATTTAAACTAGACACCATAATTCTTATTGACTGGTCACCACTTCCAGGCACAGACACCTCATCAGACAAAATCAACTGTGGTTGATTGTTCACTTGAGTTATTGTTCCAGGTACAATCTGGAAAAAAGGAGAATGATATATTTGATAATGGTTTTAGGAATCATACCCCTCACAGCCCAGTCTCAAATTAGGCCTTCTAAATTGTTAAGAAAATATGAGACTAGGAACTCTACGATTAAACACTGAAGTGTTGGGCAAATGTTTTGTTAGTGGGATGAATTGTAAAGGACCTGCCTAGTATGGGCCAACAGGCCTCCTGCAGTGTTCCTCATTTCTTATGTTTATGTTCTTATGATTAAGAAACATGTAGGTGTAAGAAGTTTAAAAGTTTTACGTTATCACCTTACATGTTTGTAACATAAAATGAAGACCATCAACCCTACTAGACAGTATCAACCTTTAAAAGGCTTCCCTTTCACACTTGCACAAGAGGATGACAAAATAAGCATCCATCAGGGCAACCAGTGAACGTGTAATCAAGATTCCACTGCTTGCTGACCACAACTTCGTTTACTTAAGAGGACCCACAAACAGATGCCACAGATAGTGAAAAAGACACCAGATCCCACATCAATACCATCTGAAAATGCTGAGGACTTCCTGGACAACTTTAAACACAGTAAGACAAAAAAAAAAAAAAAAAAAAAAAAAGCTGGAACAAGCACATCTTAAAACCTATCCACCAGTGACAACAAGCCTCCAGGTAAGCTGCATCGATCCTGAAGACAGGAATGGTTGCTGTCTACCATAAGAATTTTTTTTTTTCTAAACATGTCGGGCATTTCCCACCAATGCAGGGTGACCCAAAGGAAGAAACATTTTCATCATCACTCACTCCATCACTGTCTTATCAGAGGTATGCCGATACTACATTTCGAAAACTGCAATATATCTCCACCCCTATTTACATTTACAGTGGAGCCCCGGTTTATGATCAGCTCCCAATGTGACCAATTATGTAAGTGTATTTATGTAAGTGCACTTGTATGTGTATGTTTGGGGGTTTGAAATGGACTAATCTAATTCACAATATTCCTTATGGGAACAAATTCGGTCAGTACTGGCACCTGAACATACTTCTGGAATGAAATATCGTAAACCGGGGGTCCACTGTATTATATATCCTACTGTACTTTCAAAACATTGCTGCAATGCACACAGTACATGAGCAATATCTTGGAGTGTTATGTACTCTTGAACAAACAATTATACAAATTAAAAGTAACAATAAAAAAACCACTGAACTAGCATAATTAAAACACAAGACAAGTATCAGTATCAATTAAGAATCACATTTAACTGTTAATGTCAAAAGATTCTCTTAAAAGTTCTCCAACATCCCTACAGTCACTCTGGGGAAATTATAAAAAAACCACAAGTGAAAAATGGCCCAAGTAGTAGGCAAACAATTAAAATGCGTTCCATTGCCGGGTGCATGCCAGAAGATACATAAGAGGGCAGGAGAGTCTACAAACTGGTGGCTATGGGCAAGATGCATCATGCCCCTGATCCTCGATTGACACAGGTCTGTCTAAATTGATTTTTCACACTGAAGAAGAGCCAAATACCCATATCCAGCCGAACCCCCAAACAACTTGTTTTTTCGTCTGTAGGCTCCATCAGGCCCATTACGGAGTCACTGAGGTGGAAATATGCTACGACGTGACATCAAAATAAGAGCCTTCACACGAGCATCAGGCTGCTCACCAACATGGCCTAGGAAACGACACAGCTCCATGTATATATCCCAGAGGGTCCTCGGGTTAATAAGAACAGCTTAACAATAATAGAAATAAGATATTAATGATGACAAGTTAAGGCAGCCAACTGTACTAGTGATTGGTGGAGAAAAGTGACAGATGAAGACCAGCATTAGGATGCAGAACACTGGTGTTCCAACTTGAGTGATTAGATCATTATAATAATATAAATGTGGAATTGCTAAGCTTGAAGGGGAGGTAATCAGGTTTAACCCAAGTGATCCAAGGGAAGGGAAGGGCAACTCCAATTTCTTGGACCAAGACCATGTCATCAGCATCAAGGCACCCACTTTGAGGGGAGCAGAGGTAAAAATGTGTTTGACATTTATAGAGTTTGGAAGCCACTCCACTGATTGTTTAGTACTTGTGCCATGTAACCAACATCACAAAGCTTTCATTAGTAATATCTTGTGGCAGAAAATATTGATATACCTGTGCAGTTGCAGCTGGAGATGGTGACTGAGTGCCTCCTTGGTTTATCTGACCTGAAGCAGGTGTCACGACCCCAGTAGCAGAACTTGCTCCGTCTCGCATGTGAGTCTGACGATGCCTCTTCATATCTGACCGAACACGGAAAGGCTTTCCACAATCGGGGCACGGATGTGGACGTTCACCTGAGATGACAGTCACATTTATTCTATGTAATTTAATGATTCATAGCTCACGTACTCTTAAATCATTTGATGTTAATACAGTATTAACTCTAAGTGATAATTAATCCAGTTCAGATCACTAGTTGATAATAGTACATAACATAATAATAGTACCAAGAGTGTGATAATAGTACCAATATGTAAGTGAGAATCACACTTATGAAGTTTGATCATTCAAAGTTTATCTTCTCTTTCAGATCATTTGTTAATATTAGCAACGTACATAATAGAACTTTTGGAATACTGAAGTCACAAATTTACTTTCAAATATATAAGTATACATTTAAATTATTTTTCTTATTCTTTTTAGTAATCTTTACAGGAAAAGGGGTTACTAGCCCATTGTTCCCGGCATTTTAGTTGACTTTTACAACACGCATGGCTTACGGAGGAAAGATTCTTATTCCACTTCCCCATGGATATAAAAGGAAAAGTAATAAGACCAAGAACTATTAAGATAAAATCAAAGAAAACTCAGATGAGTGTGTATAAATAAATGTGTACATGTATGTGTAGTGTGACCTAAGTGTAAGTAGAAGTAGCAAGACATACCTGTAATCTTGCATATTTATGAGACAGACAAAAGACACCAGCAATCCTACCATCATGTAAAACAATCACAGGCTTTCGTTTTACAATCACTTGGCAGGACGGTAGTACCTCCCTGGGTGGTTGCTGTCTACCAACCTACTACCATTAATAGAAAGAGTGGATAGAGGAGCAATGTGGCAGATGTTGCAAGTATATGGAATAGGTGGTAAGTTATTAAATGCTGTAAAGAGTTTTTATGAGGATAGTGAGGCTCAGGTTAGGGTGTGTAGAAGAGAGGGAGACTACTTCCCGGTAAAAGTAGGTCTTAGACAGGGATGTGTAATGTCACCATGGTTGTTTAATATATTTATAGATGGGGTTGTAAAGGAAGTAAATGCTAGGGTGTTCGGCAGAGGGGTGGGATTAAATTTTGGGGAATTAAATTCAAAATGGGAATTGACACAGTTACTTTTTGCTGATGATACTGTGCTTATGGGAGATTCTAAAGAAAAATTGCAAAGGCTAGTGGATAAGTTTGGGAATGTGTGTAAAGGTAGAAAGTTGAAAGTGAACATAGAAAAGAGTAAGGTGATGAGGGTATCAAATGATTTAGATAAAGAAAAATTGGATATCAAATTGGGGAGGAGGAGTATGGAAGAAGTGAATGTTTTCAGATACTTGGGAGTTGACGTGTCGGCGGATGGATTTATGAAGGATGAGGTTAATCATAGAATTGATGAGGGAAAAAAGGTGAGTGGTGCGTTGAGGTATATGTGGAGTCAAAAAAACGTTATCTATGGAGGCAAAGAAGGGAATGTATGAAAGTATAGTAGTACCAACACTCTTATATGGGTGTGAAGCTTGGGTGGTAAATGCAGCAGCAAGGAGACGGTTGGAGGCAGTGGAGATGTCCTGTTTAAGGGCAATGTGTGGTGTAAATATTATGCAGAAAATTCGGAGTGTGGAAATTAGGAAAAGGTGTGGAGTTAATAAAAGTATTAGTCAGAGGGCAGAAGAGGGGTTGTTGAGGTGGTTTGGTCATTTAGAGAGAATGGATCAAAGTAGAATGACATGGAAAGCATATAAATCTATAGGGGAAGGAAGGTGTGGTAGGGGTCGTCCTCGAAAGGGTTGGAGAGAGGGGGTAAAGGAGGTTTTGTGGGCAAGAGGCTTGGACTTCCAGCAAGCGTGCGTGAGCGTGTTAGGAGTGAATGGAGACGAATGGTACTTGGGACCTGACGATCTGTTGGAGTGTGAGCAGGGTAATATTTAGTGAAGGGATTCAGGCCCTAAGCGAAACAAAGCTGAAGGGGGTAGGAGAGTTTCAGTGGGGGGAAATAAATGGGATTAAATCTGGAGTATCTGAGAGAGTTAGAGCAAAGGAAGGGGTAGCAGTAATGTTAAATGATCAGTTATGGAAGGAGAAAAGAGAATATGAATGTGTAAATTCAAGAATTATGTGGATTAAAGTAAAGGTTGGATGCGAGAAGTGGGTCATAATAAGCGTGTATGCACCTGGAGAAGAGAGGAATGCAGAGGAGAGAGAGAGATTTTGGGAGATGTTAAGTGAATGTATAGGAGCCTTTGAACCAAGTGAGAGAGTAATTGTGGTAGGGGACTTGAATGCTAAAGTAGGAGAAACTTTTAGAGAGGGTGTGGTAGGTAAGTTTGGGGTGCCAGGTGTAAATGATAATGGGAGCCCTTTGATTGAACTTTGTATAGAAAGGGGTTTAGTTATAGGTAATACATATTTTAAGAAAAAGAGGATAAATAGTATACACGATATGATGTAGGGCGAAATGACAGTAGTTTGTTGGATTATGTATTGGTAGATAAAAGACTGTTGAGTAGACTTCAGGATGTACATGTTTATAGAGGGGCCACAGATATAATCAGATCACTTTCTAGTTGTAGCTACACTGAGAGTAAAAGGTAGATGGGATACAAGGAGAATAGAAGCATCAGGGAAGAGAGAGGTGAAGGTTTATAAACTAAAAGAGGAGGCAGTTAGGGTAAGATATAAACAGCTATTGGAGGATAGATGGGCTAATGAGAGCATAGGCAATGGGGTCGAAGAGGTATGGGGTAGGTTTAAAAATGTAGTGTTAGAGTGTTCAGCAGAAGTTTGTGGTTACAGGAAAGTGGGTGCAGGAGGGAAGAGGAGCGATTGGTGGAATGATGATGTAAAGAGAGTAGTAAGGGAGAAAAAGTTAGCATATGAGAAGTTTTTACAAAGTAGAAGTGATGCAAGGAGGGAAGAGTATATGGAGAAAAAGAGAGAAGTTAAGAGAGTGGTGAAGCAATGTAAAAAGAGAGCAAATGAGAGAGTGGGTGAAGATGTTATCAACAAATTTTGTTGAAAATAAGAAAAAGTTTTGGAGTGAGATTAACAAGTTAAGAAAGCCCAGAGAACAAATGGATTTGTCAGTTAAAAATAGGAGAGGAGAGTTATTAAATGGAGAGGTAGAGGTATTGGGAAGATGGAAGGAATATTTTGAGGAATTGTTAAATGTTGATGAAGATAGGGAAGCTGTGATTCGTGTATAGGGCAAGGAGGAATAACATCTTGTAGGAGTGAGGAAGAGCCAGTTGTGAGTGTGGGGGAAGTTCGTGAGGCAGTAGGTAAAATGAAAGGGGGTAAGGCAGCCGGGATTGATGGGATAAAGATAGAAATGTTAAAAGCAGGTGGGGATATAGTTTTGGAGTGGTTGGTGCAATTATTTAATAAATGTATGGAAGAGGGTAAGGTACCTAGGGATTGGCAGAGAGCATGCATAGTTCCTTTGTTATAAAGGCAAAGGGGATAAAAGAGAGTGCAAAAATTATAGGGGGATAAGTCTGTTGAGTGTACCTGGTAAAGTGTATGGTAGAGTTATAATTGAAAGAATTAAGAGTAAGACGGAGAATAGGATAGCAGATGAACAAGGAGGCTTTAGGAAAGGTGGGGGGGTGTGTGGACCAGGTGTTTACAGTGAAACATATAAGTGAACAGTATTTAGATAAGGCTAAAGAGGTCTTTGTGGCATTTATGGATTTGGAAAAGGCGTATGACAGGGTGGATAGGGGGGCAATGTGGCAGATGTTGCAAGTGTATGGTGTAGGAGGTAGGTTACTGAAAGCAGTGAAGAGTTTTTTACGAGGATAGTGAGGCTCAAGTTAGAGTATGTAGGAAAGAGGGAAATTTTTTCCCAGTAAAAGTAGGCCTTAGACAAGGATGTGTGATGTCACCGTGGTTGTTTAATATATTTATAGATGGGGTTGTAAGAGAAGTAAATGCGAGGGTCTTGGCAAGAGGCGTGGAGTTAAAAGATAAAGAATCACACACAAAGTGGGAGTTGTCACAGCTGCTCTTTGCGATGACACTGTGCTCTTGGGAGATTCTGAAGAGAAGTTGCAGAGATTGGTGGATGAATTTGGTAGGGTGTGCAAAAGAAGAAAATTAAAGGTGAATACAGGAAAGAGTAAGGTTATGAGGATAACAAAAAGATTAGGTGATGAAAGATTGAATATCAGATTGGAGGGAGAGAGTATGGAGGAGGTGAACGTATTCAGATATTTGGGAGTGGACGTGTCAGCGGATGGGTCTATGAAAGATGAGGTGAATCATAGAATTGATGAGGGAAAAAGAGTGAGTGGTGCACTTAGGTGTCTGTGGAGACAAAGAACTTTGTCCTTGGAGGCAAGAGGGGAATGTATGAGAGTATAGTTTTACCAACGCTCTTATATGGGTGTGAAGCGTGGGTGATGAATGTTGCAGCGAGGAGAAGGCTGGAGGCAGTGGAGAGGTCATGTCTGAGGGCAATGTGTGGTGTGAATATAATGCAGAGAATTCGTAGTTTGGAAGTTAGGAGGAGGTGCGGGATTACCAAAACTGTTGTCCAGAGGGCTGAGGAAGGGTTGTTGAGGTGGTTCGGACATGTAGAGAGAATGGAGCGAAACAGAATGACTTCAAGAGTGTATCAGTCTGTAGTGGAAGGAAGGCGGGGTAGGGGTCGGCCTAGGAAGGGTTGGAGGGAGGGGGTAAAGGAGGTTTTGTGTGCGAGGGGCTTGGACTTCCAGCAGGCATGCGTGAGCGTGTTTGATAGGAGTGAATGGAGACAAATGGTTTTTAATACTTGACGTGCTGTTGGAGTGTGAGCAAAGTAACATTTATGAAGGGATTCAGGGAAACCGGCAGGCCGGACTTGAGTCCTGGAGATGGGAAGTACAGTGCCTGCACTCTGAAGGAGGGGTGTTAATGTTGCAGTTTAAAAACTGTAGTGTAAAGCACCCTTCTGGCAAGACAGTGATGGAGTGAATGATGGTGAAAGTTTTTCTTTTTCGGGCCACCCTGCCTTGGTGGGAATCGGCCGGTGTGATAATAAAAAAAAAAATAATAATAATAATTCAGGGAAACCGTTTATTTTCATATAGTCGGACTTGAGTCCTGGAAATGGGAAGTACAATGCCTGCACTTTAAAGGAGGGGTTTGGGATATTGGCAGTTTGGAGGGATATGTTGTGTATCTTTATATGTGTATGCTTCTAAACTGTTGTATTCTGAGCACCTCTGCAAAAACAGTGATAATGTGCGAGTGTGGTGAAAGTGTTGAATGATGATGAAAGTATTTTCTTTTTGGGGATTTTCTTTCTTTTTTGGGTCACCCTGCCTCGGTGGGAGACGGCCGACTTGTTAAAAAAAAAAAAAAAACATTTAAATTATTATATAGTTTTATATAGAGGGAAGGAATGGTAGAAGTAATCCTAGGAAGGGTTGAAGGGAAAGGGTAAGGGAGGTTTTTAAGTGTTAGGGACATGGACATCCATAGGCTTGTGTGAGCATGTTAGATACGAGTACATTAAATAGGAGTGAGTGGATGGAAAGGGTTTTTATGATTTGATGCACTGTTAGTGTTAACAAGGTAATATTTATGAAGAGATTCAGGGAATCTGGTTAGGCAGACTTGAGTCCCTGCGTTCTGAATGGAGGGTTGGGATGCTGCAGTTCGAAAGATTATCTGAGCAGTGATGCAAGCACACCTCTGGCACGACACGGTTTGAATGAATGACAGCGAAAGTGCTGGGTCTTTTTCAGGTCACCCTACCTTAATGGGAGGTGACCAATGTGTTAAAAATAAATACAGTCAAAATATAGGGTCTTCATATAAAAAAAGACAATAATATTTATTTCATTTAGCAATTTATAATTTCTTTTCCCATAAGAACTTAGAGTTACTGTAATAGCATACCTGTATGAATTCTCTTGTGATTCTGAAGATACGATGCTGCTCTAAATGCCTTGCCGCAGAACTCACACTTGTAATTCTTTTCACCAGTGTGGATTCTACGATGTACCACCAGACAATACTTGCGCTTGAAGTCCTTCCCACAGTACTCACACTGATACTGTCTGTGAAGAAGAAATTAATGCATCTCTTTGAAAGCAAATCTTCTGATATAATTTTTAATATTTTCACAATTTACTAGATTCAATCTTTCTAATATAATGCTAGATTCACAAATAACCCACACATAGGAAAGAGAACCTTACTGTGATGTTTTGATCCAACTTGGATCATTTACAAGGTCATACTTTGTAAATGGTCCAAGTCGGACAGAAACATCGTCATAAGCTTCTCTCTCTGCTATATGTAGGTCATCTGTGTATTGTTCCACTCACAGTATTGTGACTTTTTGTTCTTTATTTTAGATTCATAGTGAACCATTTGTTTAAAACACTTCCTAATACAGCCTCTCCTCACTTAGCAATGTACGTACTCGTTTACCGACGACTCGGACCTACGATGGGCTCTCTGACCAGTATGCATACCTAAATAATGTATATTAGAGCTGATTTCCTCTTATTCTGTTCATTACAATATACAGTACACTACTGTATAAGCATTTAAAAATATACCAGAAATGTTATAAATGGTGCAAACGTGACATTAAAACACTATCAAAGATGGTTGACACAAACCCACTACCATTAATCTATGCTCCTCACTTAGCGACGAATTCGTTTACCAACGTGGTCTTAGGAACGGAACTCCATCATTAAGTGAGGAGAGGCTGTACTGTACTCTATTTTAATGTCATATTATAACTGTTTACTATCACACATCAATGCTCTGCCTCGGTGGGAGATGGCCGACTTGTTAAAAAAAAAAAAAAATCAATGCTCTGGGATATGAATTAGTAATTCTGTAAAGTGTGTGGATTTTCAATGATGGGGCCCTGTACAATATACATATATAAGCACTTCAGTGCACTTCCAGCAATACAGCTACTGAATGAATGATCTTGAGTGTACTTGCTTTTCTGGGTAACCCTACCTTGGTGGGAGACAGCCAGTGTTAGAAAAAAAAATAAGCAAGAAGAGCAATTGCTGCAGTTCTTCGTTTTATATTTTTTTAATATTCCAACTTCCTCCCACCAAGGTAGGGTGGCCCTCCAAACAGTAACATCCCCACCCTTCCTCCAGAATGCAGGCACTATACTTTCTACTTCCAGGATTAAAGTTTGTTTGATGGGTTACCCTGAATCCCTTCATAAATGTTACCTTGCTCACACTCCAACACCACATCAAATTATGAAAACCACTTGGCTTACTCCTATCTAACATGCTCATACAAGCCTGTTGGATGTCCAAGACCCTACCACTCAAAACCTCCTTTAGTCCCTCCCTCTAACCACTCCTAAAAGAACCCCCTCCCTCCTTCCACACCAGATTTATACGCCCTTCTAGTCATCCTGTTTCTGCATCCACTTTAACAACTCCTCCTTAGCCTTCTGAATAATACTTTTAGTAACCTATTTGTCATTAAGGTTTCTGAGTGCCATTTAATAAATATAATACATTTGTAGTTTGGAAATTAGGAGGAGGTGCGGGATTACCAAAACTATTATCCAGAGGGCTGAGGAGAGGATGTTGAGGTGGTTCAGACATGTAGAGAAGATGGAACAAAATAGAATGACTTCTTTCTTTCTTTCAACACACCGGCCATATCCCACCAAGGCAGGGTGGCCCAAAAAGAAAAACGAAAGTTTCTCTTTTAAATTTAGTAATTTATACAGGAGAAGGGGTTACTAGCCCCTTGCTCCCAGCATTAAAATAGAATGACTTAGAGTGTATAAATCTTTAGTGGAGGGAAGGTGGGGTAGGGGTTAGCCTAGGAAAGGTTGGAGGGAGGGGATAAAAGAGGTTTTGTGTGCGAGGGGCTTGGACTTCCAGCAAGCATGTGTGTGTTAGATAGGAGCAAATGGAGACTTGACATGCTGTTGGAGTGTGAGCAGGGTAACATTTATGAAGGGATTCAGGGAAACCGGCAGGCCAGACTTGAGTCCTGGAGATGGGAAGTACAGTGTCGGCACTCTGAAGGAGGGGTGTTAATGTTGCAGTTTTATAACTAGTGTAAGCATGCCTCTGGCAAGACAGTGATGGAGTGAATGACGATGAAGGTTTTTCTTTTTTGGGCCACCCTGCCTTAGTTAGAGACAGCTGATGTGTTAATAAAAAAAAAATAATAAAAATACATTCCATACCAAAACTTATTCATTTCAAAGACCGACAACTCCAAACTCCTGAATTTCACAAAATTATGTCATTCATACTTCAATTCTAACTCAAAGGTCCCACAAGAACAAGATCAATGAACTTCACACTAACCTGTCTTCAGAATGAACTGATGTTGTATGATATCTTAAATCTCCCCACTGCCTGAAGAATTTTTCACACAGTTGACATTTGTATGGCTTCTCACCGCTATGAAGTCTCTGGTGAACTTTGAGAGCACTTGCAGCATAAAAAGCTTTCCCACATTGTTCACACTGATGAGGCCTCTCACCTGAAACATGTATGCAATCATTAGGAAAAAAGTGCAGTGAAACAAGGCAAAAATTATGCTGAATTAGATTTATGCTCTTGACACAAATGAAGCATTTCCTCTGGAAAAGCAATCTGATAAATAAAATAAAAGCATTGTGTATGTGATGTTCATGGAGTCTTGGAAATACAGTTTGGGAATAAGTGATTTCAAATGCGTTTGTTGCTTCAGGTAAACCTAATATTTTTAAACATTCAAAACATCTCACCTGTATGTCCTCGAATGTGATAAACAAGAGAATTCTTGTGTGTGAACACCCTCGGACACATAGTACAGGAATAGCCTCCCTTTACTGCTTTCCCCATCTTTATCTTCTTTTTTGGTGCCCCCTTATTCTGTGGTACTTCTTCTTTGTGTTCAATCTTTCTGTGTGTCATCAACTTAGTTTTTGACTTAAAGACTCTGTAGCAGTCCTCACAATTAAATTCTGGTGGATTCTCACTGTGTTCTGACTGGACATGGGAATCGAGGGCCATCTGTGTACGGTAGCTCTTGGGACAAGCCACACACGTGTACGGTTTATCAATAGAACTTGCCTCAGTTTCCTCCATATGGGCAACTTTTAAATGGACTTCGAGCATACTCTCTTTCCGGAATGTTTTGTTGCACAGTTCGCAGGTGAAATGTTCCCTCGAGTGTACTAATGAGTGGTCCTGCAGAGCCTCTGCATTTTCAAACTCTCCACCGCAAACTTCACACTTGTGTTTTTTGTACGGTTCGTAGTGACCCTTTAAATGCTCGAAAAACTTCAGTTGAGATTCAAAACCTTTTGTACAAATTTCACACTTGAAAGGCTTAGGTTTCATTGCAGGGGGCACATGTGTCTGCTTATGTACTGCAAACTGCTGCTGATTGGTGAACTGCTCACCACACTGCGCACACTTGTAACACTTCACATGCTTCTTAGTGGTTTTTAGTTTCTTTGGAATTCGTTTTTTATGTGGTAGGGACTTTTTACCATCAGTGCTATAGTTACCACTAGTCTCCAGGTCCTCATCATTAGAGTCCATATCCTCATCTAGTGGATCTTCCTCCTCGAATACCACTTCTTCCATGGGGTCGTCATCCTCGTAGTTTGCACTTATAACCATGGCTTCAACTTTGACTAGCTGCTCAGGGATATGGGGAAGTATTTCTTCCTTCAGGTTCTGACTCACATATTCCACATATTCTGGTCGATGGCGGATGGGTCGACCACTGCGAGAAACAAGAGGCATGTGTTGAGATGCGAGCTGATGCTCGTGATCATCATCTAAGACTTCTGTTTTTGTGACTTGTTGTAAAAACTGTTTTTGCTGGTGTTGCAGCTGTGTTTGTTGATGCTGCTGCTGTTGATGCTGCTGATGCTTTTGCTGCTGTTGCAGTTGTCGCTGCTGTTGTGGCTGGTGAAACTGAAAGGGTTTCTGTTGTTGCTGCTGCTGTAGCCTATGGGGATGCTGCAGTTGTCTTTGTTGATGCTGTTGCTGTTCTTGATGCTGCTGTTGAAGCTGCCTTTGTTGCTGCTGTTGCTGCTGCTGTTGTTGCTGCTGCTGTTGTTGTTGCTGCTGCTGCTGTAGCTGTTGCTGCAACTGTCTTTTCTGAATCTCCAGCTTATTTGGTTTTCGATATTCATGTAATGTATGAGGCAATCCATCATGATCTAGCTGAACGAGATTTGTCGTCGGAACGTCTGGCAGGATATGATCAGGCTGGTCTTGTTCTTGCTGTTGCTGTTGTTGCTGTTGCTGCTGCTGTTGTTGCTGTTGCTGTTCTTGTTGCTGGAGAAAAATATCAGAATAAGCTCTCTCAAGCAGCTGTGATTTAGGATTTTGGTGTTCATGGCGGACATGGTGGCCAGTAGAATTTGTAGGAGCAGCAGTGGTGGTTGGGTTCATTACGTCAAAATACAATTCAAGAGGAGCCGATGCAGCTGCCCCTTTCATTGCTGCATCGCTCATTTCCACAAAGGCCACGTTATCTACAGAAACAAGAGCATCGGGAAACTTCCCTTGTTGGTCATCTTGCAAAGGCATGTGTGCAACATATTCCAGGCTACCATAAGAATCTTGTGCACTGCTCCCTGCGGTGGTGAACGTCACTGCCGGACTGACATTGCTCAGTGCACGAGATCCCTGTGCAATGACACCCTCCAGGAGTGTCTGCGTGTTGCCTGAGGACACAGGAACATAATGCTGTGTAGCTGCACCCAAGGAAGCCAGACTGCTGGTGCTGAGAGCTCCACCTGTCCCATTAAGTCCAAGTTGATCAAGTTGTGTTGGATCAATCTTGGGTAAATTTACAATATTCATTTGTATAGATCCACCGCCTCCCAACATACTGCCATCCTCGCTCTCTGACATCACTTATACCTATAAAAGCAAATTAAAGAGTTAAACATGAGAAATAATTTGAATTTCAAGCATGTAGAACAGTTTAAATATTTTTTTCCAATGATATATCATTTTTTCCAATGATATATCAATGTAATATTTAATTTTATATAATTGGTGTTAAAAATGGGTATCAAAATTTTCACAGTACATAAATCATATCACATGGAAAGTGTGTTTATGCAAGGCAGAGCTTATGTACACCAACAGTGGGAAAGATATAAAACACGAGGAGAAAAATCCCTACGTTTATTAAACAATAGTACAGACGCTACCCTACTTATGAACACTTGAGTTACGAACATTCAGACATACGAACAGACTGCCGTGTTAGTTAAAGTTAAAGAAGTTTTTTATTACAGTATTTAATATTAAAATATGCTTTGTATTAAGAACCGTACATTACTGATACTGTACACTGTTCAGTATTGTCTAAGTTTTCAATGAACAACGGCGCATGAAGAGAAAATTAATAATAATGATGATAATATTAAAAATAATAATAATCATTACAAAGAAAAATGGCATAATAAGTTACGAACAATTCACGATACGAACAGCCTTCTGGAACGTAACTTGTTCATAAGTTGGGGGGCGTCTGTACAAGTGATAAACCTGTAGGGAGGCATACAGGTTTAATCCAAGGAAAAGAACTGCAGCTCTAATGCCTCGAATCAAGATCCCTTCACAAGGGTCATACAGTGCTCTCCTGAAAAGGCAAAAAATAACACCATACGAGTTTATTTTTGGGTATACAGTGATTGCTTGTTATATTACACATACTTGTGGAGACTCACTGAACCAGTAATGGAAGTATAATCACGTTCAATCAAAACCAGTGAATTATACTCAAATGATTGGGCATGACTACGTTAATTTGAAATTGTAGTAGTATAGTGTAGTAGTACAATATAATAGTATACTGTAGTAGTAGTAGTAGTAATATAGTACAGTAGTAGTATAGCAACAGTCATAGTAGTATAGTGTAGTAAATTATAGTTGTATTGTGTAGTAGTCGCATTGGGTAATAGTACAGTGTAGTAGTAGTATAATATGGTAGTAGCAGTATTGTATATTAGTATAGTGTAGCAGCAGTAGTAAGTCAGTAGCAGCAGTAGCAGTCAGTAGTAGCCAGTAGCAGTAAGTAGCAGCAGTAGTAGTAGTCAGTAGGAGCAGTAGTAGTCAGTAGCAGCAGTAGCAGTCAGTAGTAGTAGTCAGTAGCAGCAGTAGTATTCAGTAGCAGCAGTAGTAGTCAGTAGCAGCAGTAGTAGTCAGTAGCAGCAGTAGTAGTCAGTAGCAGCAGTAGTAGTCAGTAGCAGCAGAAGTAGTCAGTAGCAGCAGTAGCAGTCAGTAGCAGCAGTAGTATTCAGTAGCAGCAGTAGTAGTCAGTAGCAGCAGTAGTAGTCAGTAGCAGCAGTAGTAGTCAGTAGCAGCAGTAGTAGTCAGTAGCAGTAGTAGTCAGTAGGAGCAGTAGTAGTCAGTAGCAGCAGTAGCAGTCAGTAGTAGTAGTCAGTAGCAGCAGTAGTATTCAGTAGCAGCAGTAGTAGTCAGTAGCAGCAGTAGTAGTCAGTAGCAGCAGTAGTAGTCAGTAGCAGCAGAAGTAGTCAGTAGCAGCAGCAGTAGTCAGTAGCAGCAGTAGCAGTCAGTAGCAGCAGTAGTAGTCAGTAGCAGCAGTAGCAGTCAGTAGCAGTCAGTAGTAGCCAGTAGTAGTAAGTAGCAGCAGTAGTAGTCAGTAGCAGCAGTAGCAGTCAGTAGCAGTCAGTAGTAGCCAGTAGTAGTAAGTAGCAGCAGTAGTAGTCAGTAGCAGCAGATGTAGTCAGTAGCAGCAGTAGTAGCCAGTAGCAGCAGTAGTAATCAGTAGAAGCAGTAGTAGCCGGTAGCAGTAGTAGTCAGCAGTAGTAGTCAGCAGCAGTAGTCAGTAGCAGTAGTAGCGAGTAGCAGCAGTTGTAGTTAGTAGTAGTAGTACTAGTAGTAGTAGTCAGTAGCAGTAGTAGTCGGCATTACTAATCAGCAGTGGTAGTCAGCAGCAGTAGTCAGCACTCTGCAGCACTAGTCAGCAGTAGTAGTAGTCAGCGGCAGTAGTAGTCAGAAGCAGTAGTAGTAGTCAGTAGTAGTGGTCAGCAGCAGCAGTAATAGTAGTCAGTAGTAGTAGTCACCAGCAGTAGTCAGCAGTAGTAATCAGTAGTAGTAGTCAGCAGTAGTAGTCAGCAGCAGTAGTCAGCAGCAGTCAGCAGTAATAGTAGTTAGCAGCAGCAGTCAGCAGTAATAGTAGTTAGCAGCAGCAGTCAGCAGTAATAGTAGTTAGCAGCAGCAGTCAGCAGTAATAGTAGTTAGCAGCAGCAGTCAGCAGTAGTAGTAGCAATAGTAGTAGTCAGCAGCAGTTGTCAGAAGTAGTAGTAATCAGCAGCAGTATTTGTCAGCAACAGTCAGCAGTAGTCAGTAGTAGTCAGCAGCAGTTGTAGTCAGCAGCAGTAGTAGTAGTAGCCAGCAGTGGTAGTAGCAGTCAGCAGTAGTAGTAGTCAGCAGCAGTAGTAGTCAGCAGGCAGCAGTAGTAGTAGTCTGCAATAGCAGTAGTAGTCAGCAATAGTAGTAGTCAGCAGCAGTAGTAGTCAGCAGCAGTAGTAGTCAGCAGTAGTAGTCAGCAGCAGTAGTAGTAGTCAGCAGCAGTAGTAGTAGTAGTCAGCAGTAGTAGTCAGCAGCAGTAGTAGTCAGTAGTAGTAGTCAGCAGTTTTAGTAGTCAGCAGTAGTAGTAGCAGTCGTCAGCAGTAGTAGTATAGTCAGCAGCAGTAGTAGTAGTCAGCAGCAGTAGTAGTAGTCAGCAGCAGTAGTAGTAGTCAGCAGTAGTAGCAGTCAGTAGCAATCAGCAGCAGTATTTGTCAGCAGTAATACTCAGCAGCAGTAGTAGTAGTCAGCAGTAGTAGTAGTCAGCAGTAGTAGCAGTCAGCAGTAGTAGCAGCAGCAGTAGTAGTCAGCAGCATAAGTTGTCAGCAGTAGTAGTCAGCAGCAGTAGTAGTCAGTAGCAGTAGTGGTCAGCAGTGGTAATCAGCAGCAGTATTTGTCAGCAGTAGTAGTCAGCAGCAGTAGTAGTAGTCAGCAGTAGTAGTAATCAGCAGCAGTAGTCAGCAGCAGTAGTAGTCAGCAGCAGTAGTAGTAGTCAGCAGCAGTAGAAGTCAGCAGTAGTAGTAGTCAGCAGCAGTAGTAGTCAGCAGTAGTAGTCAGCAGCAGTAGAAGTCAGCAGTAGTAGTAGTCAGCAGTAGTAGTAGTCAGCAGCAGTAGTCAGCAGTAGTAGTCAGCAGCAGCAGTAGAAGTCAGCAGTAGTAGTCAGCAGCAGCAGTAGTAGTCAGCAGCAGTAGAAGCCAGCAGTAGTAATCAGCAGCAGTAGTAGTCAGCAGCAGTAGTAGTCAGCAGCAGTAGTAGTCAGCAGCAGCAGTAGTAGTCAGCAGCAGTAGAAGTCAGCAGTAGTAGTAGTCAGCAATAGTCAGTAGTAGTCAGCAGTAGTAGTAGTCAGTAGTAGTAGTAGTCAGTAGTAGTAGTCAGCAGCAGTAGTCAGCAGCAGAAGTCAGCAGTAGTCAGCAGTAGCAGTCAGTAGTAGTAGTAAAAATCAGTAGTCAGCAGCAGCAGTAGTCAGCAGTAGTAGTAGTAAGTAGCAGTCAGCAGCAGCAGTAGTAGTAGTAAGTAGCAGTAGTCAGCAGCAGCAGTAGTAAGTAGCAGTAGTCAGCAGCAGCAGTAGTGGTAAGTAGCAGTAGTCAGCAGCAGTAGTAGTAGTAAGTAGCAGTAGTCAGCAGCAGAAGTAGTCAGCAGTAGTAGTAGTCAGCAGCAGCAGTAGTAGCAGTCAGAAGTAGTAGTCAGCAGCAGCAGTAGTCAGCAGTAGTAGTAGTAAGTAGCAGTAGTCAGCAGTAGTAGTAGTAAGTAGCAGTAGTAGTAGTAAGTAGCAGTAGTAGTAGTAAGTAGCAGTAGTAGTAGTAAGTAGCAGTAGTAAGCAGCAGTAGTCAGTAGTAGTAGTAGTAAGTAGCAGTAGTCAGCAGTAGTAGTAGTAAGTAGCAGTAGTCAGCAGCAGTAGTCAGCAGTAGTAGTAGTCAGCAGCAGCAGTAGTAGCAGTCAGCAGTAGTAGCCAGCAGCAGCAGTAGTCAGCAGTAGTAGTAGTAAGTAGCAGTAGTCAGCAGTAGTAGTAAGTAGCAGCAGCAGTAGTCAGCAGTAGTAGTAGTAAGTAGCAGTAGTCAGCAGTAGTAGTAGTAAGTAGCAGTAGTCAGCAGTAGTAGTAGTAAGTAGCAGTAGTCAGCAGTAGTAGTAGTAAGTAGCAGTAGTCAGCAGTAGTAGTAGTCAGCAGCAGCAGTAGTCAGCAGTAGTAGCAGTCAGCAGTAGTAGTAGTAAGTAGCAGTAGTAAGCAGCAGCAGTAGTAGTAGTAAGTAGCAGTAGTCAGCAGCAGCAGTAGTCAGCAGTAGTAGCAGTCAGCAGTAGTAGTAGTAAGTAGCAGTAGTCAGCAGCAGCAGTAGTAGTAGTAAGTAGCAGTAGTCAGCAGCAGCAGTAGTAGTCAGTAGCAGTAGTAGTAGTCAGCAGTAGTAGTAGTCAGCAGTAGTAGTAGTAAGTAGCAGTAGTCAGCAGCAGCAGCAGCAGTAGTCAGCAGCAGCAGTAGTAGTAGTCAGCAGTAGTAGTAGTAAGTAGCAGTAGTCAGCAGCAGCAGTAGTCAGCAGTAATAGTCAGCAGTAGTAGTAGTCAGCAGCAGTAGTCAGCAGTAGTAGTAGTCAGCAGTAGTAGTCAGCAGCAGTAGTCAGCAGTAGTAGTCAGCAGTAGTAGTAGTCAGCAGCAGTAGTAGTCAGCAGCAGTAGTAGTAGTCAGCAGCAGTAGTAGCAGTCAGCAGCAGTAGTAGTCAGCAGCAGTAGTAGTCAGCAGTAGTAGTAGTCAGCAGTAGTAGTCAGCAGGAGTAGTAGTCAGCAGGAGTAGTAGTCAGCAGTAGTAGTCAGCAGTAGTAGTCAGCAGCAGTAGTCAGTAGTAGTCAGCAGCAGTAGTCAGCAGTAGTAGTAGTCAGCAGTAGTCAGCAGTAGTAGTCAGCAGTAGTAGTAGTCAGCAGTAGTCAGCAGTAGTAGTCAGCAGCAGCAGTAATAGTCAGCAGTAGTAGTAGTCAGCAGCAGTAGTCAGCAGTAGTAGTAGTCAGCAGTAGTAGTCAGCAGCAGTAGTCAGCAGTAGTAGTCAGCAGTAGTAGTAGTCAGCAGCAGTAGTCAGCAGTAGTAGTAGTCAGCAGTAGTAGTAGTCAGCAGCAGTAGTAGTAGTCAGCAGCAGTAGTCAGCAGTAGTAGCAGTCAGCAGCAGTAGTAGTAGTCAGCAGCAGTAGTAGTCAGCAGTAGTAGTAGTCAGCAGTAGTAGTAGTCAGCAGTAGTAGTAGTCAGCAGTAGTAGTAGTCAGCAGTAGTAGTAGTCAGCAGTAGTAGTCAGCAGTAGTAGTCAGCAGTAGTAGTAGTCAGCAGCAGTAGTAGTCAGCAGTAGATCTTAAGTATAAATTAAGTAACATTAAGATATATTATCCCTGACAAGTGACACACATTACAACACAAATTATAACCACCAAAAATAAACCTACAACAACAATCTAAATAGACCTACTTACTAGGCCTAAAAAAAAGTTCAATCAACACTAGGAAAGTTTGTAATGGAAGTGTCTGAGACGAGATATAAACCCAGCCTATAAAAATTGTGGATTTCTGGAGGCCTAAACCTTAGATAAGTAAAAGTTAAGTGTTATGTGCTGGGGTATATAGGCCTATAAGCGGCTAGTAGGCCTACCCTCCATCACTAAGACCATCACCACCATTTTCCTCCATCACGGCCAAACCCACAAATAATGGAGTGGAAGGTGAGTGGAGGGGCGTGGAGGCCCCGTGTCAGCCTCAACTGGAGGGTGACATGTTCTGGAGGATCAACAGCAGCAGCAGCAGCAGCAGCAGTCACAAGCGTTGCCATAATACTTACAGCAGCCAGGTAGAGGAACCTCCAGCAGCAGGAGATGTGACAACAATGGCGAGCAGACCCGCCCGACCATACATCTTCATCATTATTAATATCTAACTCACCTTTATCTTACATTTACCTCTGTATTTAATGTATCAAAAAATTGCTATCTTAATGCACTCTTATAATAATATATTATTTCCCCCGTATTTGTTATGGTAAGCTCCTAACACTAATAATATATTTTTTTTAAATTTTATACTAGACATATTATTACGTATAACATCTCTTATATACTTAAAATAGACGTTTAATAAGCCTCTGTTATTTTATATAAATATTTCTTTATGTCAAATAAATATTTTGAAAATAAATGAAAAAGATATATTACCTTATGATGGCAGAATACAAGACTAAAATATTTTCTCAGTATAATTCTCTGTATAATTAATTTTTTTTAGTGTATGGATATATATATATATATATATATATATATATATATATATATATATATATATATATATATATATATATATATATATAATATATATATATATATATATATATATATATATATATATTATATATATATATATATATATATATATATATATATATATATATATATATATATATATATACTATACATGGGAACCATGATGGCCACGCACTGCAACATTATATATATGACTCTCCAAACATCCAATATTTCAGAGACATCTCCATACAGTGGAAATAAGTCACTGTTGTTTTGCATTATTATAGCTAATTTACACATATTACTATGCATAACAACTACGTGGGGAGTTGAATGATAGCTCCAGGCCTTTCGTGTTGCAGTTAACATCATCAGGAGCTTGCAATGTTGCAGAAATGAATAAGAGATTTAAATAGATTCGTTCAGTGGCAGTTATTTATGTCTAATTTATCAAAAGTTACTCTATTTTGTCTATTTTGGAACCTATAGTTTGTTTCTTTTTGAAAGGGACACCTGGAGATATATTGCCCAGATCTGGGAAATATATCTTCTCCAAGTATACATAATTTCCCGTGACCTGGTAAGCAACACACCTGGTGGCTAAAGCTCCCGCTTCACACACGGAGGGCCCGGGTTCGATTCCCGGCGGGTGGAAACATTTCGACACGTTTCCTTACACCTGTTGTCCTGTTAAGATAAGATAAGATAAGATTTCGTTCGGATTTTTAACCCCGGAGGGTTAGCCACCCAGGATAACCCAAGAAAGTCAGTGCGTCATCGAGGACTGTCTAACTTATTTCCATTGGGGTCCTTAATCTTGTCCCCCAGGATGCCACCCACACCAGTCGACTAACACCCAGGTACCTATTTGCTGCTAGGTGAACAGGACAACAGGTGTAAGGAAACGTGTCGAAATGTTTCCACCCGCCGGGAATCGAACCCGGGCCCTCCGTGTGTGAAGCGGGAGCTTTAGCCACCAGGCCACCGGGCCACAATAGGTACCTGGGTGTTAGTCGACTGGTGTGGGTCGCATCCTGGGGGACAAGATTAAGGACCACAATGGAAATAAGTTAGACAGTCCTCGATGACGCACTGACTTTTTTGGGTTATCCTGGGTGGCTAACCCTCCGGGGTTAAAAATCCGAACGAAATCTTATCTTATCTTATCTTACTGTCCGTGGTTCGATCCCCGGCACGGGTGGAAGCATAAGTATAGGTATACACAAATACATAGATGATCATACATAGCAGCATATGTGTAGAGAACCTGGGACAACACAAAGAAGTCAGAAAGAGTGATTTATTTACATTGGGGTCTTGTTACCTTACACCTACTGTCACTGCTCTCCTAGCAAGTAGGTACCTGGGTGTTAATGGACTGGTGTGGGTCGCATCCTGGGGGACAAAACTGACCTAATTTGTGGGAGATGTTCAGCATAACAAGGGACTTTCTATATAGTAATATGTCACTGATGTCAGCTATGGTGGCCTGGTGGCTAAAGCTCCCGCTTCACACACGGAGGGCCCGGGTTCGATTCCCGGCGGGTGGAAATTCCGACACGTTTCCTTACACCTATTGTCCTGTTCACCTAGCACAAATAGGTACCTGGGTGTTAGTCGACTGGTGTGGGTGGCATCCTGGGGGACAAGATTAAGGACCCCAATGGAAATAAGTTAGACAGTCCTCGATGACGCACTGACTTTCTTGGGTTATCCTGGGTGGCTAACCCTCCGGGGTTAAAAATCCGAACGAAATCTTATCTTATCTTATGGTCTGTATAAGTTGTATTATGTACTGATAGAAATAAATATTATTATTATTAGTAGTATCTAGGTGCAGGTACACATAAGTACAGCTATCATATATAGTGTAAATTACCCACCAGGATAACCCAAAATAAGTCAGACTTATTACCACTGTGGTTCTGGTATTACCACTGTTGTTCTGGTATTACCACTGTGATTTTGGTATTACCACTGTTGTTCTGGTATTACCACTGTGGTTCTGGTATTACCACTGTGATTCTGGTATTACCACTGTGATTCTGGTATTACCACTGTGGTTCTGGTATTACCACTGTGATTCTGGTATTACCACTGTGGTTCTGGTATTACCACTGTGATTCTGGTATTACCACTGTGATTCTGGTATTACCACTGTTGTTCTGGTATTACCACTGTGGTTCTGGTATTACCACTGTGATTCTGGTATTAATCTGTTCTATGCCTAGAACAGATTAACTCGGTAGCACTCGATGTATGCACAAGGCTTATTCCTCTAAGAAAAAGGAGGAGTAGATGTAAAACAGAAAGAGACAGGCGCTCCCTTTACAGGCGACGGAAAAGAATAACAGAGCGGCTAAAAGAGGTCAATATATCTGAAATGCGTAGGGAGACACTGGTCAGAGAAATAGCAAGCATCGAACTTAAGCTAAAAGAATCCTTTAGGAGTCAGGAATCGCGGGAAGAACTAAAAGCCATAAATGAAATCGAAAGAAACCCAAAGTATTTCTTCTCCTATGCCAAATCAAAATCGAGAACAACGTCCAGTATTGGGCCCCTACTTAAACAAGATGGGTCCTACACAGATGACAACAAGGAAATGAGTGAGCTACTCAAGTCCCAATATGACTCAGTTTTAGCAAGCCGCTAACCAGACTGAGAGTCGAAGATCAAAATGAATTTTTTATGAGAGAGCCACAAAATTTGATTAACACAAGCCTATCCGATGTTATCCTGACGCCAAATGACTTCGAACAGGCGATAAATGACATGCCCATGCACTCTGCCCCAGGGCCAGACTCATGGAACTCTGTGTTCATCAAGAACTGCAAGAAACCCCTATCACGAGCCTTTTCCATCCTATGGAGAGGGAGCATGGACACGGGGGTCGTCCCACAGTTAACTAAAAACAACAGACATAGCCCCACTCCACAAAGGGGGCAGTAAAGCAACAGCAAAGAACTACAGACCAATAGCACTAACATCCCATATCATAAAAATCTTTGAAAGGGTCCTAAGAAGCAAGATCACCACGCATCTAGAAACCCATCAGTTACACAACCCAGGGCAACATGGGTTTAGAACAGGTCGCTCCTGTCTGTCTCAACTATTGGATCACTACGACAAGGTCCTAAATGCACTAGAAGACAAAAAGAATGCAGATGTAATATATACAGACTTTGCAAAAGCCTTCGACAAGTGTGACCATGGCGTAATAGCGCACAAAATGCGTGCTAAAGGAATAACAGGAAAAGTCGGTCGATGGATCTATAATTTCCTCACTAACAGAACACAGAGAGTAGTCGTCAACAGAGTAAAGTCCGAGGCAGCTACGGTGAAAAGCTCTGTTCCACAAGGCACAGTACTCGCTCCCATCTTGTTCCTCATCCTTATATCCGACATAGACAAGGATGTCAGCCACAGCACCGTGTCTTCCTTTGCAGATGACACCCGAATCTGCATGACAGTGTCTTCCATTGCAGACACTGCAAAGCTCCAGGCAGACATCAACCAAATCTTTCAGTGGGCTGCAGAAAACAATATGAAGTTCAACGATGAGAAATTTCAATTACTCAGATATGGTAAACATGAGGAAATTAAATCTTCATCAGAGTACAAAACAAATTCTGGCCACAAAATAGAGCGAAACACCAACGTCAAAGACCTGGGAGTGATCATGTCGGAGGATCTCACCTTCAAGGACCATAACATTGTATCAATCGCATCTGCTAGAAAAATGACAGGATGGATAATGAGAACCTTCAAAACTAGGAGGCCAAGCCCATGATGACACTCTTCAGGTCACTTGTTCTATCTAGGCTGGAATATTGCTGCACACTAACAGCACCTTTCAAGGCAGGTGAAATTGCCGACCTAGAAAATGTACAGAGAACTTTCACGGCGCGCATAACGGAGATAAAACACCTCAATTATTGGGAGCGCTTGAGGTTCCTAAACCTGTATTCCCTGGAACGCAGGAGGGAGAGATACATGATTATATACACCTGGAAAATCCTAGAGGGACTAGTACCGAACTTGCACACGAAAATCACCCACTACGAAAGCAAAAGACTTGGCAGACGATGCACCATCCCCCCAATGAAAAGCAGGGGTGTCACTAGCACGTTAAGAGACCATACAATAAGTGTCAGGGGCCCGAGACTGTTCAACTGCCTCCCAGCACACATAAGGGGGATTACCAACAGACCCCTGGCAGTCTTCAAGCTGGCACTGGACAAGCACCTAAAGTCAGTTCCGGATCAGCCGGGCTGTGGCTCGTATGTTGGTTTGCGTGCAGCCAGCAGCAACAGCCTGGTTGATCAGGCTCTGATCCACCAGGAGGCCTGGTCTCAGACCGGGCCGCGGGGGCGTTGACCCCCGGAACTCTCTCCAGGTAAACTCCAGGTTACCACTGTGATTCTGGTATTACCACTGTGGTTCTGGTATTACCACTGTGATTCTGGTATTCCCACTGTGGTTCTAGTATTACCACTGTGATTCTGGTATTACCACTGTTGTTCTGGTATTACCACTGTGGTTCTGGTATTACCACTGTGGTTCTGGTATTACCACTGTGGTTCTAGTATTACCACTGTGATTCTGGTATTACCACTGTTGTTCTGGTATTACCACTGTGGTTCTGGTATTACCACTGTGTTTCTGGTATTATCACTGTGGTTCTGGTATTACCATTGTGGTTCTGGTATTACCACTGTGATTCTGGTATTACCACTGTTGTTCTGGTATTGCCACTGTTGTTCTGGTATTACCACTGTGGTTCTGGTATTTCCACTGTGGTTCTGGTATTACCACTGTGATTCTGGTATTACCACTGTTGTTCTGGTAAGTAAGTAAGTAAGTAAGTTTTAAGTAAGTAAGTTTATTCAGGTATTACCACTGTTGTTCTGGTATTACCACTGTGGTTCTGTTATTTCCACTGTGGTTCTGGTATTACCACTGTGATTCTGGTATTACCACTGTGGTTCTGGTATTACCACTGTTGTTCTGGTATTACCACTGTGATTCTGGTAATACCACTTGTTCTGGTATTACCACTGTGGTTCTGGTATTACCACTGTGTTTCTGGTATTACCAGTGTGATTCTGGTATTACCACTGTGGTTCTGATATTACCACTGTGTTTCTGCCATTACCACTGTGGTTCTGGTATTACCACTGTGGTTCTGGTATTACCACTGTGTTTCTGCCATTACCACTGTGGTTCTGATATTACCACTGTGTTTCTGCCATTACCACTGTGGTTCTGGTATTACCACTGTGGTTCTGGTATTACTACTGTGTTTCTGCCATTACCACTGTGGTTCTGGTATTACCACTGTGTTTCTGCCATTACCACTGTGGTTCTGGTATTACTACTGTGTTTCTGCCATTACCACTGTGGTTCTGGTATTACCACTGTGGTTCTGATATTACCACTGTGTTTCTGCCATTACCACTGTGGTTCTGGTATTACTTCTGTGTTTCTGCCATTACCACTGTGGTTCTGGTATTACCACTGTGGTTCTGGTATTACCACTATGGTTCTGATATTACCACTGTGTTTCTGCCATTACTACTGTGGTTCTGGTATTACTTCTGTGTTTCTGCCATTACCACTGTGGTTCTGGTATTACCACTGTGGTTCTGATATTACCACTGTGTTTCTGCCATTACCACTGTGGTTCTGGTATTACTTCTGTGTTTCTGCCATTACCACTGTGGTTCTGGTATTACCACTGTGGTTCTGGTATTACCACTGTGGTTCTGATATTACCACTGTGTTTCTGCCATTACTACTGTGGTTCTGGTATTACTTCTGTGTTTCTGCCGTTACCACTGTGGTTCTGGTATTACCACTGTGGTTCTGATATTACCACTGTGTTTCTGCCATTACTACTGTGGTTCTGGTATTACTTCTGTGTTTCTGCCATTACCACTGTGGTTCTGGTATTACCACTGTGGTTCTGGTATTACCACTGTGGTTCTGATATTACCACTGTGTTTCTGCCATTACTACTGTGGTTCTGGTATTACTTCTGTTTTTCTGCCATTACCACTGTGGTTCTGGTATTACCACTGTGGTTCTGGTATTTCCATTAAATAACCTTAATGCATATAAGTCACTGACTTTTTTGAGTATTATCTTAGGTATTTAAAACTATGTATAATAATTGTACTTACATATCTATACCTAAATAAACTTATATATATAATGGGATCCACTTTTAGTCCAAATTTTGGGGCCCATAAGAGAAAAAGGCTTGGAGGAAAAAATTTTGGATTTCTTCCTGAAATTATTTAAACATTCCACTTCTCCATCTTTTTTCCATCAATATGTATATTTTATTACATAATATGATAGACAAAATTTAAAATATACATTAGTGGTACATAGGGTATAGTTAATAATTTTTAGGTTCGTATCCATACAAACAAAATTTGTCACATGTTGAGTCAGTAGGTCAGACTAGGCCAGTAGGCCTACTGGCTCATATTTACCACATTATTCTCTCAAATTAGACCCAATAACACTCAAATATCTGTCCAGGTTCATCTTAAAGCTGACAAAGGTAATTATTATACTGTTATTACCGTTAATTGTAATATATTTTGTACTGCGGGAAGGTTCCTTGATGTTGGTGAGGGCTCTTGATCCAGGGAATTGGATCTGTGCTCCAGTTCCCCGAATTAAGCCTGAATGCCTTCCACATCCCCCCCAGGTGCTGTATAATCCTACGGGTTTAGCGCTCCCCCACAAGGCACAGTACTCGCTCCCATCTTGTTCCTCATCCTTATATCCGACATAGACAAGGATGTCAGCCACAGCACCGTGTCTTCCTTTGCAGATGACACCCGAATCTGCATGACAGTGTCTTCCATTGCAGACACTGCAAAGCTCCAGGCAGACATCAACCAAATCTTTCAGTGGGCTGCAGAAAACAATATGAAGTTCAACGATGAGAAATTTCAATTACTCAGATATGGTAAACATGAGGAAATTAAATCTTCATCAGAGTACAAAACAAATTCTGGCCACAAAATAGAGCGAAACACCAACGTCAAAGACCTTGGAGTGATCATGTCGGAGGATCTCACCTTCAAGGACCATAACATTGTATCAATCGCATCTGCTAGAAAAATGACAGGATGGATAATAGAACCTTCAAAACTAGGGAGGCCAAGCCCATGATGACACTCTTCAGGTCACTTGTTCTATCTAGGCTGGAATATTGCTGCACACTAACAGCACCTTTCAAGGCAGGTGAAATTGCCGACCTAGAAAATGTACAGAGAACTTTCACACGGCGCGCATAACGGAGATAAAACACCTCAATTATTGGGAGCGCTTGAGGTTCCTAAACCTGTATTCCCTGGAACGCAGGCGGAGAGATACATGATTATATACACCTGGAAAATCCTAGAGGGACTAGTACCGAACTTGCACACGAAAATCACCCACTACGAAAGCAAAAGACTTGGCAGACGATGCACCATCCCCCCAATGAAAAGCAGGGGTGTCACTAGCACGTTAAGAGACCATACAATAAGTGTCAGGGGCCCGAGACTGTTCAACTGCCTCCCAGCACACATAAGGGGGATTACCAACAGACCCCTGGCAGTCTTCAAGCTGGCACTGGACAAGCACCTAAAGTCAGTTCCGGATCAGCCGGGCTGTGGCTCGTATGTTGGTTTGCGTGCAGCCAGCAGCAACAGCCTGGCTGATCAGGCTCTGATCCACCAGGAGGCCTGGTCTCAGACCGGGCCGCGGGGGCGTTGACCCCCGGAACTCTCTCCAGGTAAACTCCATGTAATTTGTACTGCCTTATAAATTTAATTTTCCTTAAGGAAGGTTCCCTGATGCTGGTGAGGGGCTCTTGATCCAGGGAACTGGATCTGTGCTCTGGTTCCCTGAATTGACCCTGAAATACCTTCCATCCCCCCCATATGCGCTGTATAGTCCTACAGGTTTAGCGCTCCCCCATGATTATAATATCAATTTATGTTAATTAACTTCAATTATCTTTTATGTTAATATGTAATAATGTTTATTAAAATGTACTGCTACATATAATTATGGGGAAGCGCTAAACCCGTAGGATTATACAGGGCCTGTGGGGGGTATGGAAGGTATTCAGGGTTAATCCAGGGAACTGGAGCACAGATCCAGTTCCCTGGACCAAGAGCCCCTCACCAGTGTCAAGGATCCTTCCTTGAGGGGCTGGTTATACCTGGAGTATATTTGTTGAGGGTTTCGGGGGTCAACGCCCCCGCGGCCCCGTCTGTGACCAGGTCTCATGGTGGATCAGGGACTGATCAACCAGGCTGTTACTGCTGGCCGCATGTAAATCAACGTACAAACCACAGCCTGGCTGATCAGGTACTGATCAGGCAGGTTCAAACATTTCGACACGTTTCCTTACACCTGTTGTCCTGTTCACCTAGCAGCAAGTAGGTACCTGGGTGTTAGTGGACTGGTGTGGGTGGCATCCTGGGGGACAAGATTGAGGACCACAATGGTAATAAGACAGACAGTCCTCGATGACATACTGACTTTCTTGGGTTATCCTGGGTGGCTAACCGTCTGGGGTTAAAAATCCGAAGAAAATCTTATCTTATCTCTGACTTTAGCAGCCTGTCCAAAGCATTCTTGAAGACAGCATTTCAGAGCATTTCAGGCAAATTACAGAACAGTTGGAGCTCAAACCCCTGCCAGGGAAGTCCTGAAACTCACAGGTCATGCGATTTCACGAGGACATGTTATGGGCACGTAAAAACCACATTATGCAGATTTAATCTGGAAGTAAGTCACTTTGTTTGATTTTTTGGGTAATTTACACAGGGGTGTCACTAGCACGTTAAGAGACCATACAATAAGTGTCAGGGGCCCGAGACTGTTCAACTGCCTCCCAGCACACATAAGGGGGATTACCAACAGACCCCTGGCAGTCTTCAAGCTGGCACTGGACAAGCACCTAAAGACAGTTCCTGATCAGCCGGGCTGTGGCTCGTACGTTGGTTTGCGTGCAGCCAGCAGCAACAGCCTGGTTGATCAGGCGCTGATCCACCAGGAGGCCTGGTCACAGACCGGGCCGCGGGGGCGTTGACCCCCGAAACTCTCTCCAGGTAAACTCCAGGTATGATGTTAAGTATGATAATTTATGTAACTATTTATTTGTACCTGAATAAACTTAGTTATTTAGGCCACACAATTTCATGTTATACACATGTAAAATCTACATTAGGGATATGTGGGGCAGCAGACCTCCAGCACCAACAGCCTGGTTGACCAGGCAAGCACCAGACAAGCCTGGCCCATGGCCAGGCTCAGAGAGTAGATTAACTCTCAAAACTCTTCAAAGGTATGCAGATTTAATCTGGGATGACCCAGTAAAGTGATCACAGTCCCAGGACTGAATCATTTTGTATATGTCCTGGTGTTTAGTCATGTGTGTTTATTAAAATGCAGCCTAATAAACTCAAACTGATCTACTTATTAAAATGCAGCCTAATAAACTCAAACTGATCTACTTATTAAAATGCAGCCTAATAAACTCAAACTGATCTACTTATTAACCCTTTGACTGTTTCAGGCCCCTTTCTGAAACTGTCATTCTATGTCGCCAAATATTCGAAAAAAAAAATTATTTTTTCTTATGAAATGATAGAGAATCTTTTCCCGATGGTAATGAAATTTGGTCAAAAACTCACGGAATTATGCTCCCGCGAAGTTAGCGGAATCGGCGACATGTGTATCGGCGATTTCGCCGACTTTGAGCCCTGTTTTCAGCCAATTTCGTTGTTCCAGTTGACCAAAGTCATAGCTATTTCTTTAGAACTCCATTTTATCTATCAGCTGAGTACAAGAAACCGCCCATTTACCAATTTGAACTACCCAATATAGTACAGTGGACCCCCGGTTAACGAACTTTTTTCATTCCAGTAGTATGTTCAGGTGCCAGTACTGACCGAATTTTTTCCCATAAGGAATATTGTGAAGTAGATTAGTCCATTTCAGACCCCCAAACATACACGTACAAACGCACTTACATAAATACACTTACATAATTGGTCGCATTTGGAGGTGATCGTTAAGCGGGGGTCCACTGTAGTTAGAAATTGGCAATTTGGCCAATTTCACGCAAATTAAAAAAGATGCCAATTTCAAAATAGGGTCCAGAATAAACAAGGTAGACATTCTTGGCACTAAATTAGCATATCCTCTGTTCATTAGTCACATCTCTAGGCCCCTCTTATATTATTATTGCTTTCTATTTTGATTTTTTATTCATACAAAAAAATACAAAATTTACTGTTATGCAGACTACTGCATTATTGTAAAAATGGTATAAATAATATCAGTGCACTAGTGAAAGAATATTAGACTCCCCAGTTGACGTGTATTGGACGTGTGGTGTGATTTATTTACTCCTGAACATTGGTAAAAATCGAACATTTCCGCTATTTTGAGCTCAGTTTCAAGGTCGTTTTCATCGTCAAAGTAATGAAAATCATCTCTATTTCTGTAATGTGTTTTCCATTTTATCACCTAAGACCATGAAAACGCGAATACAACGATAAATACTATACGAAAATACACCTCAAAGTCGGCGTTTTATTCCAAAAAAACGATGCTTTTTTTCTCATTACGCAATGTGTGCTGCAGGATTTTTTTTATGTGGTGCACACTGACCACACAGACCCATTCTCTCACATGTGGGCCTACCAGCTTTCTCCTGCTTGATTTGAAGCCGCTAGAATTATTGAGTATATATACGTCAGAAACATTGGCTCGTAAGACGTATTTATACGTCGAAAACAGTCAAAGGGTTAAAATGCAGCCTAATAAATTCAAACTGATCTACTTATTAAAATGCAGCCTAATAAACTCAAACTGATCTACTTATTAAAATGCAGCATAATAAACTCAAACTGATCTACTTATTAAAATGCAGCCTAATAGACTCAGATTGATCTATTTAAAGAGATGTTTGGAAAAGATTGGCTTATGGGTAATTAGATTTCTGTTCATATATGTTTAGAAGTCCATCAGGACCCAGTGACGTGTTTGGTTTTAATTTATTTATTTGTCTCGGGACTCTTGTCGTTTCTAACTGATCTTCCATAATTTACATATTTCGATCTTAGTTTTGTATAATTATTTATGTCAGTCGCCTGATATTTTTCAGTAATGACTGTTTCTTGCACAAGAAGTTTGTCTAAGTCCATTCTTTATGCAATATGTATTTTATTTCTTGCACTCTGGTTATTTATATATGTATGTAAATTTAACCTAGGATGACTCAGTATAGTTAGACGATGTGACATTTTTTTTTGTTTTTCAGAAGACTGTGAGAGATGAAAGTGAAAAAGACAGGAAAAGTGATGCAGTCGTCAGGATTCAGGACAAAGATTCTGGGACGGAAACATGATAGAAAGTTGAAGCGCCAGCAGAAAAAACAGCAACGTGCTCTGTTCTATACTCGTTTTCACAAAGTAAATAAACCATCTGAAGTGAAAATGCAGACGAAGGTTCAGCAACTACACGAGCATGAAGAAACAGGGAAGAAGAAATTGAAAAAGAACAAAATTCCTGAAAAACACGAGGCTATGGATGAGCCAGTGTCAGCTGCAAGTGATGAGGAAGTGGGAGGTTTTAAATTATCATCATCTAGCAGTGATCGTATGGCTCGACTCCAAGAATATGTCAGACGAGCAACTGGAATTGAAAATGATGACAGTAGGATGTCCTCCAAGGAAACAAAAGTACAACAGACAAAGTTCCAAACACAGCCTGAAGGAGAACTTTTAATTAAAGACAAACAGAAGTTGAAAAGTCTAAGAAAAGGTCAAGAAATGGATACGAAGGAAGTAAACAAGTTAGCAAGGCTTCTGGGATATAGGAAACCTCATCAGAAGAAAAAGGTTGCATCAATATTTGCTGATGACTTTGGAAGCATCTTGGAAGATATCGAAGATGGCACAATGGTTAATATTGACAAATACAAGGAAGATGATGTTATTCATGACAGTGATGAAGAATATGAGAAGGATATGATGGCTGTTCTTGGTGAAAAAGCAAATAGTATGCAAAGAGAAACCACGAAAGATGATTCTGATGACTCCGATAACGCATATGATAAAGATTTAAGTGAGAGTGGAAATTCACTTAGTAACAATGAGGATGACGTAAATAGTGACGAGAATGATAGTACAAATAATTTGGAAAATAGTCCTTTTTCATACAGAAGTGATATTGAACAAAGTGATAATTGTGATGATGATGAAGGAGGAGAAGGAGATGAAAAAGAAAAAGACGAACAAGACGAAGATAATGATGATGAAAATGATGAAGAAGATAATGATGAAGAAGATAATGATGAAGATGATGATGAAGAAGACATGGAGAACTTTTTGGACTTAGAAGCTGAAGAGTCAGATAGGGAAGAAAGTGATGGCAACAGTGATTTAACTTATGACTTTAGAAATGACCCAGAGTTGGCCTTTGAAGGTGGCTGTGGTTATTATAGTAAACCTGAGATTTTAAAAAATGGTGAAGAAAATGATATTGATAGATACTCAAGCAACAGCGATGATGATGAGGATTTAGAAGGGTTTGTGGTCAGCGATGGTCACGTGGAATTCAGCAGTTGTAGTGATGAGCTTCCTAGTGAATTCAGTGATTCTTCCCCTGTGATGAGACAGAGAATGATCATAATTAGTGATGAGAGCGATGGTAATGGCAGTAGTCCCGAGAACAGTGTGAAAAATAACCCTTCAAGCCAGGGTACTGTTGAGGATGTTATTCCAAGGAAGCAAAAAGATACACCAAAGATAAGAGAGAAGAAACTGTACAAGAAAATAAAAAACAAAAATGTCAATCTTGACATTTATAACTCAGATGAGGATGAAGATAGCAACTTGGCTAGAATAAGTTATATATCCAAAAGAGTTGCTCCAAAGAGAAAGAAAAGAGCTGTTTTGACATCTAGCAGTGATGAAGATTCTTCAGTGCAGAATCAGAGACAGAAGAAAAAGATGAAACAGCAAATTAGCAATGAAGAGGCTGATTCTACTGTTGAGGCAGAGTTCATAAACTCAGAAATTTTGAGCAATAATTCAATCCAGAAAGCATACTCGTATAAGGATGTCAAATATGATTCTGAGTCCAAAGAGTCTCAGTGTACTGGTGAATTTAGTTCTGATGAAGATGAATTGAATGAGTACAAAATTCACGCTAACAGTAGCAAAGTTTCGACGTCCAGTAATGATGATTCTCCAGTGTCAATGCCAGTGCAGAATCAAAGAAAGAAGAAAAAGATTAAAAATCAAGTTAATGATAGAGTAATTGATTCTGCTGTAAAAAATATTGATGCTAAAAATGTTGAAGCTGACTTTACAAAATCAAAAATTTCAAGCAATGATTCCATTCAGAAAAAAGATTCGTATAAGAGAGATTCAGAATTTAATAACGAGTCTGAGAATTCTCAATGTACTGGTGAATTTAGCCCTGATGAAGACGAACTAAATGAAAACAAAATTCAGAAAACAGACTCTTATAAGAGAGATTCAGAATTTAATAACGAATCTGAAAATTCTCAGTGTACTGGTGAATTTAGCCCTGATGAAGACGAACTAAATGAAAACAAAATTAGGTCTGACAGTATCAAAGTCTTGATATGCAGCCATGATAAAGATTCTCCAGTGCAGAATCAAAGAAAGAAGAAAAAGATTAAAAATCAAGTTAATGGTGAAGCTGATTCTATTCAGAAAACAGACTCGTATATGAGGGATTCAGAATTTAATGACGAATCTGAGAATTCTCAGTATACTGGTGAATTTAGCCTTGATGAAGATGAAGTGAATGAGAACAAAACTCAGTCTGACACAATCAAAGTCTTGATGCCCAGCAGTAATGAAGATGATGAATTTCCACCAAGTGATGATGATAAGTTTGAATCTGTTGTCAAAAATATTAGCGATACAGATTTTAAAGAGTTCACAAAATCAAGAATTTCGAGCATCAGTTCCATTCAGAAAACAGAGTCGCATGAGAGGGATTCAGAATTTGATACTGAGTCTAAGGATTCTCAGGGTACTGTTAATCTTTTTAATGAATATGGAGTGAGTGAGCAAATTGTAGCTAACAGGATGAAATGTCAAGTTAGTGCTGAATTTAGTGGCAGTGAAAGTAAAGATGGTGATCTTCACCAGCAAGAAGATTGTTTAACCGAAGATATTTATGGATATTTACGAGATAAAGATGGCAACATAGTAAAAGATAAGGATATGCAAGCTGCGAGTAATGGTAAATATATTCCACCAGCACTCCGCAAACTGATGGCCCTCGATGCTGATGAGAAAAAGAAAGAACAACTTGCAAACATTAAGAAAACTCTGAAAGGACTTCTAAATCGTCTGACAGAGAGTAACATGGCTGGGATTGCCAACCAGATTGAAGAAATGTATGTAAAATATAGCCACAAGGATATGAGTGACACACTCACAGACATCCTATTAGAATCAATTGTGGCACCAACATTGAGTACTGAGAGGTTGGTTCAGGAGCACGTTATGCTGGTGGCAGTTCTCTCTTCTAATGTAGGCTCTGAGGTAAGTTGAAATCAGTCTTACAGGTAATTATGAAATAGAATTTACTCTGTGCATCGTATAAATTTGTGTCGATAAGACAGTGTTTTTCACCCAATCATTAACCCTTTGACTGTTTTCGACGTATAAATACGTCTTACGAGCCAATGTTTCTGATGTATATATACTCAATAATTCTAGCGGCTTCAAATCAAGCGGGAGAAAGCTGGTAGGCCCACATGTGAGAGAATGGGTCTGTGTGGTCAGTGTGCACCACATAAAAAAAATCCTGCAGCACACATTGCGTAATGAGAAAAAAAAAACTGATCGTTTTTTTGGAATAAAACGCCGACTTTGAGGTGTATTTTCGTATAGTATTTATCGTTGTATTCGCGTTTTCATGGTCTTAGGTGATAAAATGGAAAACATATTACAGAAATAGAGATGATTTTCATTACTTTGACGATGAAAACGACCTTGAAACTGAGCTCAAAATAGCGGAAATGTTCGATTTTTACCAATGTTCAGGAGTAAATAAATCACACCACACGTCCAATACACGTCAACTGGAAGTCTAATATTCTTTCACTAGTGCACTGATATTATTTATACCATTTTTACAATAATGCAGTAGTCTGCATAACAGTAAATTTTGTATTTTTTTGTATGAATAAAAAATCAAAATAGAAAGCAATAATAATATAAGAGGGGCCTAGAGATGTGACTAATGAACAGAGCATATGTTATTTTAGTGCCACGAATGTCTACCTTGTTTATTCTGGACCCTATTTTGAAATTGGCATCTTTTTTAGTTTGCGTGAAATTGGCCAAATTGCCAATTTCTGACCACCATATTGGGTAGTCCAGATTAGTAAATGGGAGGTTTCTTGTACTCAGCTGATAGATAAAATGGAGTTCTAAAGAAATAGCTATGAGTTTGGTCAACTGGAACAATGGAATTGGCTGAAAATAGGGCTCAAAGTCGGCGAAATCGCCGATACGCATATGTCGCCGAGACCGCTAACTTCGCAGGAGCATAATTCCATGAATTTTCGACCAAATGTAGAACTTTTGGTGTCATTACCATCGGGAAAAGATTCTCTATCATTTCATAAGAAAAAATAATTTTTTTTTTTTCAAAAATTGAGTGACATAGAATGACAGTTTCAGAAAGGGGCCTGAAACAGTCAAAGGGTTAATGCATGGAGTGCAGTACGTACTTCATATTTTATTTGATAAGTATATATGAGTGTTGCATCTTGATCTATAAAACATCTACTTATACATTTGCTATCATTTTCATTTTAGGTTACATTAAAAAAGTTGCATCCATAACTTTTAGCCTTCTCAAATATGCATTTATTTACAGTATTCGAGAAGCTTGTTTTGAATGTCTGGTTCGTTGTTTATGATACAAATTTTACGGACTTTTTTTGTTTGACACACAGGCCTGCTGACCTGAAAAGAAGACACAGAAGTGTTTCTTTTTACATATAGTAATTTATATAGGAGACGGGGGTTACTGGACCCTTGCTCCCGGCATTTTAGTCGCCTCTTACAACACGCATAGCTTACGGAGGAAGATTTCTGTTCCACTTTCCCGTGGAGTTATGCACTTTATATAATATAAACTTTGTAAGTTTTCAGTTTGCTCATAATCTTAGTTATAGAAATGTTTATAAATTATTCTTTTACAGGTGGGCGCCCACATCTTGAACGAGTTTGTCATCAGATGGCATGACCGTATGCAGCTTTTGGGTCTCGGAGAAGATGTCAGCACCAAAGAAGCGGAAAACTTGCTTCTGGTCATCGCTAACCTCTACAACTTCAGAGTGGTGGATGCTCTACTTATATACGACATTCTTCATAAACTTGCCCTTGGTTTTTCTGACAAAGAGGTGAAAAGCTGTTCCAGTGCCACAGTTGGTTGTTTTTCATTTAATTTTTATACTAGATGGTCCAGCAGTGATGCAGGCACCTCCTGTTGAAGGCTTTCAACATTTTCATTTGTTGCAGTTCATCTTACAATCTGTACATGTTTTCGTGCTTCTCCAAGTCATCAAAATACACAGTGGGTATAGAATCCCGATCTGGAGAAGACGTGTGCAGTATAACTTCAAAAATATTTGTAAAACTGCAGTGTAAACAAACACTTGTAGTACACAAATAAGACTCACATAGGAGAAACTTATGACCATGTTTTAGTCTGATTTGTATTATTAACTAGTTAATGGTGCATTATTCCAGTCACAGTCTTATGCCTTTTTGATCTTCAGTCACATGTAGATTAAGTCATGTGTAAATAAAGATGGTTTGGTCAAGTGCATTGTCGAGGAGGTGCAGTGCTGCACAGGATAATGGGTGTGGGGGTTCATAATTGATTTGCCAGTGGCTGGTCTGTGCTCTCACTTATTTTTTAACCAACAACCAAATTTTTAATGATGGGAGAGGCCAGTGGACAGCTCTTTAGATAAAATTTTGATTTCTGATCAACAGTTTTAAATTCAGTAGTGATATGCCATAGTAATTTGCAAGATAGCTTCATTAATCATTTATTAGGTTTTTGGATTTTACATAGAACTTTTTTTTTTTTTGTTTTTCAGGTGGAACTCATTTTGTTGGTGCTTCGTAGTGTTGGATTTACATTACGAAAAGATGATCCTGAAGCCCTAAAGTCCCTTGTTACAAAAATTCAAACTCAAGCATCTATATCTCAGAAGAAAAATGAAGACAGCGCAAGATATTCACGTGTGTGCTTCACATTGGAAGTATTAAGAGCCATCAAAAACAACAATATGGCTAAAGTCCCCAACTATGATCCTTCACATGTAGAGCATCTCAAGAAGGTCCTCAAAGGGATGGTGAGGAGAGGAACACAAGCAGCACTGCTTAAAGTTACCTTGGAAGATCTTCTGAAGGCACGAGAGAGTGGACGTTGGTGGATTGTGGGGTCGGCTTGGTCTGGGAACCTGCCTGGAGAGAAACCGCCTCCAGATCACAGGTCTCTCAAAAATTTTAACAGAAAAAATGTTTTAGAAAGTGAATTCACAGAAAAATTTAAGCAGAAAGCTGCTAAACTCCAGCTGTCGTGCCCGCCTAGAATAAATATACTATATATCATCACTGAGGGCTCAGAAGATTATCTTGATGCTTTTAATAAGCTACTTCAGTTGAGTCTACCTCATCAGCAACAGCAAGAATTCTTCAGTGTTATACTGCTGTGTTGCCAGAAAAGCAAAGTATACAACCCATATTATTCGTGTCTTGCAAACACAATGTGTAAATTTGATAGAAAGTACAAAAACCTTCTTAAATTTGCTCTTTGGGATAAGTTTACCGAAATTGAATCCATGAAAGCAAGAGCAGTTTCAAATTTAGCCAAATTTATGTCTCATTTATTAGGAGAACAAACTGTAAATTTGTCTATATTAAAGAATATTTCTTTTGTGGAAATAGAAAACAAGATGATCAGCTTTTTGCGCCAAACTTTGTTTAGTGTTCTCATTCACCCGATGAGTGCAGATGCATTAGAATGCATATTCTCTGTACTTAATGTCTCTCCCAAACTGCATCACCTTTCCCAGGGTCTTAAATTGTTTATCCTCAAGTTCCTAGTTATTAAAAAGGATGATAATGCTAAGTACCAAATGCTGTCTAAAAGAATACAGTGTGCAGTAGACATCTTGAGTAGAGGAGGAGGAGTGAGGCTTTAATAACAGCAGTGTATAACAATTAAAGATTTAGAATTATAGAAATTGTGTTACAGGTTCTAGCAGAATACAGTGGACCCCCGGTTAACAATATTTTTTTTATTCCAGAAGTATGTTCAGGTGCCAGTATTGATGGAATTTGTTCCCATAAGGAATATTGTGAAGTAGATTAGTCCATTTCAGACCCCCAAACATACACGTACAAACGCACTTACATAAATACACTTACATAATTGGTCGCATTGGGAGGTGATCGTTAAGCGGGGGTCCACTGTACTTACATTGAATGTCAGAGTTATATTTTATAATTACATTTTTGAAGTTGATTTGAGTACCAGAAGTAATAATAGGTACATATTACACTAGTAATTGCAGGTGCTCATGAAGCATTATTGATAAAGTAGTAAAATGGACAGTCATTTTATTGACATTGTTTTATTTCCTAAACTTCCACTCTGCCACATTGTACGTTGTATTATTGCCAAATTCCACATTTAACCCTACCAGTAATGCTGTTTTTCATTTTTACTCCCATAATATATCTTGTTTTAAAATATTTTCTCCCTTTACTCTGACTTTTTTATGCTTGCTGAGGACAGTCCTCAATCATTTTTGCTTTTCAGTGCAAGTAATTGGCAGCTGTATCACTTTTTGTTTAATAACACACCAGCCGTCTCCCACCGAGATTGGGTGACCCGAAAAAGAAGCAACACTTTCACCATCATTGTCTTGCCAGAGGCGCACCAACATTACAACTCAGATACCCTTGCAAACAACAATATCCTCAGTTCTCCTTCAGAGTGCAGGTACTTTACTTCCTGCGTCCAGGTAAAGCAGCCATGAGTTGTGTACATAGGTTTCAGTTTTTATATAGTGTATTGTAATGATTGGAAATGTGTATTTTAAATAGTTGAAAAGCCTCTTTTAATTTGCAGCTTTTTAGCCAAGACTTGCACAGGAGATTTAAGGCTATGTACCTCAGTTGTCAGTACCAGTACTATAGTACATGTATATTATATCTGAGCGCCTCTGCAAAGACAGCAATTATGTATGAACGATGGGGAAAGTGTTGAATGATGAAAGTTTTTTATTTATTTCTTTTTGAGTTTTTCTTTCTTTTTGGGTCGCCCTGCCTTGGTGGGAAATGCCCGACGCGTTAAAAAAAATTAGTTGTGAATGTCAAATTAAGTTGAATAAAAATTACTGCACTGTTCCTAACAAAGAAATACACATATAGTATATTTTTATTTATGCATATTTGTATTTTATAATTTTGGGGAATGTATGAAAATTTCTGGCTTACTTTTCCAATGTAAGAAAGTTTCAATTGTAACTATTAAGTTTATTACAGTATACCCAAGTTATGGTATCACTGATGTATTTTCAGTACTCTTTTTCCAGTGAAACGTAGTCAATGAATTTCTCATAAATAATCTCTAAGGATTCTATGTAAGTCAAACGTACTTCGTTAGGTTTGCTTTCTGTCTGTTAATAGTTAGTCCTCTTTGGATACAACATAATTTCATATACTGCCATATATGTATTATACTAGTGCATGTTGTAACACTAAAAATTTAATATTATCAAAACTAAGCGCTAAACCCACCAGGGTTATATAGCACTGCAAGGTAGGGTGCGTGAATTGTGTAAATATGCTTGATCTGAAACTAGCAAGGGGGAGAGTATAATGGAGGAAGAGTTAGTAAGGGCAGTGAAGACTGCTTTGTAATAAATGTGTTGGTGTCAAAAAGTCAAAGAGGGAGTATGTGTCAAAGGTCAGTGAGGAGGGAAGATGAAGTCAGGGTGTTAGAACAGTGACATTAATACATACAGTAACTAAATAAAATCAGTTATTATATTGTTGGGGGAGCACTGAACAGGTAAAGGTTATATGGTGCCTGAGGGATTTGGAGGCATCAGTTTTGTTCAATATTTGGATCAGGGGCTCCTCACTGGAGTCAAGGCAGATTCCTTGAAGGAAAACTGAAGGTAAATTTTGTTTTTAATTTTAGTTCAGGCACGGTGTAAGTACTGCGTACTGTAACCTAGAAAACTGTTTAATCAGAGGCAAAATTTAATCTAGGTAATATACTGTGCTTACAAAATAAATAATTGAACCTACAACCACTAAAGTCATCATTGAATTAATGTACTGTTATTTTTCTTGCACTAGACACCCTATGGGCAGTATTACCGAGACTGATCATATGTCAAACAGTTCTCATGTTGCTGTAGGAGGCAGTATTTTCATGCACTCTAAACCCCCATTGTGGGCTTTAATGTTGGATTTTATGATAGCTTATATTTTAGTTATCATAATGGCCTTGTAAACTTAATACGGAAGAGGCTTGTGTTTTGGCCCTGGCTAGAAAAGAAAATTTGATCACCATGGACAGTGATTATTTCAGGAATCTGATTGTAAGTAAAAATACAGTGGAACCTCAGTGTTTGAACTTAATTGGTCCCTTGGTGGCGTTCAAACTGTGAAAAGTTCGATGTCTGAAACAGTGTTTCCTAGGCTTTAATTATCAGCCTCACACAATGGAGGATGTTGCACTGACTCTTGCAAGTCTCTTGAGAGTCAGGTCAGTGTCAGAGGTCACTTCAAAGCACTTTTGAAACATGGCTTTCATGTAGTTTTTTTTTTACACCTGAGTTGTAAACAAGCCCGGCACATTCAGACTTCAGAAAAACGTTCGAAGACTGGGTCAATTTTTTCATAACAAAATTGTTCGGAATCTGATTTGTATGACCCTTACGGGTTTAATGCTCCATTATGATTAGAAATTATGATCATATTCCGGATTCTGGTTTGTTCAAGGTCTGGTACGTTTGAACACCAATGTTCAACTGTTAAGGTAAAATGAGCCAACCTTAGGTTGATAGAATAAAGTGAGTGTTGTGTTCTTTGTTTCATTTCTCCTTACATTAATATTTTGTTTATAAAATGGTAAAATGTTGACTATTCCTATTGTATTGACAGTTTCTTGTGTGGCAGTGTATTGATGGGGAAGCAGCGAACCTGTGTAATGGTCGTACAGCATTGGTTCGTGTGAGAAGCCATGGTGGTCAAATTTGGTGGAGAAAGTGTGCAAGAAACTCCTGGTAAGTTTATAATGATTCAAGACACACATACAAACATCTTATTATTTCCAGCATCTGGGTTTATTGATCCAGCATATATCTCAACATGGGTGGTGCCTCCATGCTAGTGAAGGGCTCTTGATCCAAAGAACTGGAGTTATTGTTTCCTTGGATCAAACCTAACTCCCTTTCATGTATTGTACGACCCTCATGGCTGGGATGCTTCCCCACATTTATAATACAGTAATCCAGCCGTGGTATTGTATTAAGTACCTCTCAACATTACTTAACACTAAATACATATTCTCAGAGGAAAATGAAACCCAAGCGGGAAAAACTTATTTATTTTATCTATTGACAGTAATTATGAAACTTGTTAAAAATGATTCATTATAAATATGACAGATTACAAGACTACGTATGTACCTTAAAAATGACCTTAGTCGTATTGCATATATCACTTGCATATCTGCTGGTATTATTGCGTGTGTCAGTGGTGTCTTTATAGTCTCTCACAGTACATAGCATTTATTCAAGGGCATATACACTCGAGGATGTATTACTCCCCATCTATATTCACCAAGAAGTATTCATCAGTAAAAGAGAGAATCTAATTTAATCCCTACTTGAGGAATTAAAGTATTACTGTAGTGTATATGTGACATGAGTGTATAGGTGGATTGTGGCCTCTGTCAACAGACATTGAACCTAACAAACTAACAACGCAGTCAGAAGCTGATCACCATTATGTTTTACAGGCTGTCCAAAACACAATTCCAAAAATATTTGTTGAATTGCAATAGCCTGGTAATTTAGTTGTCAACTTTACATGCTGAAATTTAGGTTAATATGAGCTGATAAATACATAAATGGCATTTATTTAGTTTTAAAATATACTGTATTCTAGTATACTATTTAGTATTATAGCTACCTTTGAAATTTTTTATATTATTATTATTCTTATGAGGGACTGCTACACCAGTAGGGGGTCATACAGCACCTGGGAAATTGGTGGCGATTAAGATCAGTCTAAGGAAGGGGAGGTGAGGTCCAAGTCGATGGATCAGGAGCCTCCCCTCACAAATTTGATATCAATTAGACTAATCTTTTTTTCAATTTAATATTGTATTGTCAGATTGTTTACACCGTGTTTCCTTGATGTAATATCATCCAAGATTTGCACCCATTCACTTAATATCCCTTATATTAATGCCTCACATTTTTTCAACATCAATAACCACTTTAAGAGTATGAGCATTGTTGATGCTAAGTAACAACCCATATGGAGACAGAAACACACAAAATAATTCCTTTTTCTCCTTCAACCTCAAACAACTGAAGACTCCAGTTGGTTGAAATACACAACCCAACTTCATTTTTTGTGTTTGTCTCCTTGTGGGTTATTACTTAGATTTTCCAACATATTTCAACTTAACTCAGAAAGGTACAAGTACTCCCCACTTAACAACTGAGTTCCGTTCCTAAGAGTACGCCGGTAAGCGAATTAGTTGTTAAGTGAGGAGCCGCCTCTTACTGATATTTCCAGCATACTGTACTAGTAATGGGTTTGTGTCAACTATTTTTACATATTGTTTTAGTGTCACCTTTGCACCATTTATAACTGTTTTAGTATATTAAAAACAGAACTAGGCATTAACAACAATAAGAAAGTAAAATAGACATACAGTACACTAATCGGAGTGGTAGTCGTAACTCCGAGCGGTCGTTGTACAGTTAGGTCGTTAAGTCAGGAGTACCTGTATGTATTGCCATTATGATCACATATGTAAGTAGCTTAATAAGGTCTCAACCCCTACAGGTTTAGTACTCCCCCATGAATGTAATAATAATAGAGAATACCCCACCAGTGTGCAGCCCACACCTGATCAAAGTTATACTAGTCATGGAGATAACGGGACTGATCAATGAGATGAATTGAACCAGAGGAAATATGTACCAGGAAAATTTAAAAAAAATACAAGACAGTCGAAGAACTTGATAGGGCAGACAGCAACAGGGATTGCAGATAATTATAATCAAAGGGAAAGGGCTAAAACCCAAAGGGGTTATGTATTATATATGGAAGTGCTAAACCTGTAGGGTTCATAAAGCACCTGAGGAGTCATACAGTGCCTAGGAAATAGGCATTTGAGACAGAGATCTAGACCAAAGTTAAAGAATTTAAGACGTAAAATCACGGATGCCAAGAAATATTTCTTCAGATTTAGGATGGTATGGAAGTGGAAAGACAAGTGATCAAGGTCCCAGGACCAAACCATTTTCTAACATGTCCTAGTGTTTGCTCACGCTTCGTTTTAAACCAAATAAAATGGCAGAGCGGACTCTATACACCACAATAGGGTCTACAAGCAGGGAATTAGTGAGTCATAAGTATAAATGCTACATACTTTGCATTTAATTGTTGCACCACAGCTAACCTGACCTGGCAGATCTGGAAGAGTATAGACCAAGAGGCTCCCTTAAGGGAGATTCCTTGATGCTGGTGAGACCTTTGTGGGTTTAGCGCTTAGTTTTGATTATAATAATGATGCTGGTGATTATTATTATTATAATCAAGGGGGAAGCGCTAAACCCGGAGGATTATACAGCGCCTGGGGGGGGGGAATGTGGAAAGCATTCAGGCTTAATTCGGGGAACTGGAGCACAGATCCAATTCCCTAAATCAAGAGCCGCTCACCAACATCAAGGAACCTTCCTTGAGGGGAATGATGCTGGTGAGGGGGCTCTTGATCTAGGAAACTGAATTTGCTCCAATTCCCAGAATATAAGCCTGAATGCCTTCCACCCCCCCTACAGGTGCTGTATAATCCCTACGGGTTTAGCGCTCCCCATAATAATAATAAAAGATCAAGAGGAGAAATTATTACCACTCAGAAAGGGTTTAGTGCTTAGTTTTTATTATAATAATACCACCGCTTGCAACATTCTGGGGTGTACGCAACATATAAGATGCTTCTGTATTATTACGTATATAAATGGGAGAGCGCTGAACCCGTAGGGATCTTACACCTGAGGAAATGCAGATCTGAATTAAGGTGAAGTGTTGAATGCAATGGCAGCAAGGTTACACAGATCTTTGGAAAGAGAAGAAGAAAGAGCATGATCATGACTGTAGTGTTGTGTAACACACATACTGTTGTGTGTTCTGTGAAACACACTGTTGTGTGTTCTGTGCAACACACTGTTGTGTGTTCTGTGCAACACACACACTGTTGTGTGTTCTGTGGAATGCACACACTGTTGTGTGTTCTGTGGAACACACACTATTGTGTGTTCTGTGCAACACACACACTGTTGTGTGTTCTGTGCAATACACTGTTGTGTGTTCTGTGCAACACACACACTGTTGTGTGTTCTGTGCAACACATACTGTTGTGTGTTCTGTGCAACACACACACTGTTGTGTGTTCTGTGCAACACACACACTGTTGTGTGTTCTGTGCAACACACACACTGTTGTGTGTTCTGTGCAACACACACTCCTTTGTGTTCTGTAGAACACACACACTGTAGTGCTCTGAAGAATACAGAACACACTACAGTGTGTGATCCTCAATTTCTTGAATTTGAAATTTTCACTCTTCACAACTCATTCTCAAGCCTTGGCTAAATTATCATTTTGTTTTTTTCCAACAAGTCGGCCGTCTCCCACCGAAGCAGGGTGACCCCGAAAAAAAAAAATCCCCAAAGAGAAAATAATTTCATCATCATTTGACACTCTCACCTCACTCACACATAATCACTGCCTTTACAAAGGCACCCAGATACAACAGTTTAGAAGCATATATAACACACCCCTCTAAACTGCCAATATCCCAAACCCCTCCTTTAAAGTGCAGGCATTGTACTTCCCATTTCCAGAACTCAAGTCCAGCTATATAAAAATAACCGCTTTCCCTGAATCCCTTCACTAAATATTACCCTGCTCACACTCCAACAGCTCATCAGGTCCCAAAAACCATTTATCTCCATTCACTCCTATCTAACACACTTACACATGTTTGCTGGAAGTCCAAGCCCCTCGCCCACAAAACCACCTTTACCCCCTCCCTCCAACCTTTTCGAGGATGACCCCTCCCCTGCCTTCCTTCCCCTACGGATTTATACGCTCTCCAAGTCATTCTACTTTGATCCATTCTCTCTAAATGACCAAACCACCTCAACAACCCCTCTTCAGCCCTCTGACTAATACTTTTATTAACTCCACACCTTCTCCTAATTTCCACACTCCGAATTTTCTGCATAATATTTACACCACACATTGCCCTTAGTCAGGACATCTCCACTGCCTCCAACCGCCTCCTCGCTGCTGCATTCACAACCATAGCTTCACACCTATATAAGAGTGTTGGTACCACTGTACTTTCGTACATTCCCTTCTTTGGCTCCATGGATAACATTTTTTGTCTCCTCAACGCACTACTCACCTTTTTTCCTTCATTAATTTATGGTTAACCTCATCCTTCATAAACCCATCTGCTGACAAGTCAACTCCCAAATATCTGAAAATGTTCACTTCATCCATACTCCTCTCCAATGTGATATCCAATTTTTCTTTATCTAAATCATTTGATACCCTCATCACCTTACTCTTATCTACGTTCACTTTCAACTTTCTACCTTTACACACTCAAACTTGTCCACTAACCTCTGCAACTTTTCTTTAGAATCTCCCATAACCACAGTATCATCAGCAAAAAGTAACTGTGTCAATTCCCATTTTGTATTTGATTCCCCATAATTTAATCCCACCCTTCTACCCAACATCCTAGCATTTACTTCTTTTACAACCCCATCTATAAATATATTAAACAGCCATGGTGACATTACACATCCCTGTGTAAGACCTACTTTTACCGGGGAGTAATCTTCCTCTCTCCTACACACCCTAACCTGAGCCTCGCTATCCTCATAAAAACTCTTTACAGCATTTAGTAACTTACTACCAATTCCATATACATGTACTTGCAACATCTGCCACATTGCTCCTCTATCCACTCTAAATAACAAAAAAAAAAGCACAATACCATGACTGGAACGATACACAAATAACCCGCACATAGAAGAGAGGAGCTTACAACGACGTTTCAGTCCGACTCGGATCATTTACAAAGTCACAGTGTGACTTTGTAAATGGTCCAAGTCGGACCGAAATGTTGTCGTTAGCTCCTCTCTTCTATGTGCGGGTTATTTGTGTATCATATGCCTTTTCTAAATCCATAAATACAATGAAATCCCTACCTTTATCTAAATACTGTTAACATATATGCTTCAATGTAAACACTTGATCTACACATCCCCTACCCACTCTGAAACCTCCTTGCTCATCTGCAATCCTACATTCTGTCTTACCTCTAATTCTTTCAATAATAACTCTACCTTACACTTTTCCTGGTATACTCAGTAAACTTATTCCCCTATAATTTTTACAATCTCTTTTGTCCCCCTTCCCTTTATATAAAGGAACTATACATGCTCTCTGCCAATCCCAAGGTACCTTCCCCTCTTTCATACATTTATTTATTAAACAAAAATACCAACCACTCCAACACTATATCTCCCCCTGCTTTTAACATTTGTCATGATCCTGTCAGTTCCAGCTGCTTTACCCCCTTTCATTCTACGTAATGCCTCACGCACCTCCCCCATACTCACATCCTGCTCTTCGTCACTCCTAAAAGATGTTATACCTCCCTGGCCAGTGCATGAAATTACCGCCTCCCTTTCTTCACCGACATTTAAAAGTTCCTGAAAATATTCCCACCATCTACCCAATACCTCCATCTCCCCATCTACTAACTCCCCTGACAAATCCATTCTTTCCCTAGGCTTTCTTAACTTGTTTATCTCACTTCAAAATTTTTTCTTATTTTCATTAAAACTTCTTGACAGCGCCTCTCCCACTCTATCATCTGTTCTCCTTTTGCACTCTCTCACCACTCTCTTCACCTTTCTTTTACTCTCCATATACTCTGCTCTTCTTATAACACTTCTGCTTTGTAAAAACCTCTCATAAGCTACCTTTTTCTCTTTTATCACACCCTTTACTTCATCATTCCACTAATCACTCCTCTTTCCTCCTGCATTCACCCTCCTATAGCCACAAACTTCTGCCCCACATTCTAATACTGCATTTTTGAAACTATTCCAACCCTCTTCAACCCTCCCACTACTCATACTTGCAGTAGCCCACCTTTCTGCCAATAGTTGTTTATATCTCGCCCTAACTTCCTCCTCCCTTAGTTTATACACCACCTCTCTCTTACTTGCTGTTGCCATTTTCCTTTTGTCCCATCTACCTCTTACTCTAACTGTAGCTACAACTAAATAATGATCCGATATATCAGTTGCCCCTCTGTAAACACGTACATCCTGAAGCCTACCCATCAACCTTTTATCCACCAATACATAATCTAATAAACTACGTACTATCATTATGTGCTGTATCATACCTTGTATACTTACTTATCCTCTTTTTCATAAAATATGTTTTATTACCAAACCTCTTTCTACACATAGCTCAATTAAAGGCTCCCCATTTTTATTTACCCCTGGCACCCCAAATTTAACTACTACTCCCTCCACAACATTTTTACCCACTTTAGCATTGAGAGCCCCAACCATAAGTACTCTCACACTTGATTCAAAACTCCCCACACATTCACTCAACATTTCCCAAAATCTCTCTCTCTCTCCTCTACACTTCTTTCTTCTCCAGGTGCATAAATGCTTACTATAACCCACTTTTCAGATCCAACCCTAATTTTACTCCACATAATCCTTGAAATAACACATTTATATTCCCTCTTTTCCTGCCATAACTTATCCTTCAACATTATTGCTACCCTTCCTTAGCTCTAACTCTATTTGAAACCCCTGACCTAATCCCATTTATTTCTCTCCACTGAAACTCTCCTACCCCCTTCAGCTTTGTTTCACTTAGAGCCAGGACATCCAGCTTCTTCTCATTCATAACATCCACAATTATCTCTCTCTTATCATTCACACAACATCCACGCACATTCAGACATCCCACTTTGATGGTTTTCTTCTTTTTCTCTTTAGTAAGCTATACAGGAAAAAGGTTTACTAGCCCATTGTTCCCGGCATTTTAGTTGACTTTTACAACACGCATGGCTGATGGAGGAAAGATTCTTATTCCATTCTTAGTCCCATCCTGTCTGAGTAAGTCCCATCCTGTCTTAGTAAGTCCAGTCCTGTCTGAGTAAGTCCCATCCTATGCAGCATATGGGAATCTTTATTCAGGAAACATTTCGCCACACAGTGGCTTCATCAGTCCAATACAAAGAGGAAGGCGTAAGGAGAGGTGGAGTATGAGGTAATCAGTCCCTCAGCCTGGAGTCGATGTGTTCAGTCCATCAATCTTGTAGAATGTACAGCATAGGGCCGTAGACGTGGCTTATATACTGTAGTGAGGTGAGGTGAAGCAGGCGGAGGCGGGGTCATAGTGGTACCATCCACTAGTCGAAGTAGGTCTTCGTCCAAAGGTTGAACAAGTGTAGAAGAATTCTTTGTAACAAGATCCCATGATGCTGTAGTGTCTGACAGTTGTGATGAATCTTCAACTTGTCGGTTTTTCAAACCATTCATCACAACTGTCAGACACTGCAGCATCATGGGATCTTGTTACAAAGAATTCTTCTACACTTGTTCAACTTGTCGGTTTTTCAAACCATTCATCACAAGTCCCATCCTGTCTGAGTAAGTCCCATCCTGTCTGAGTAAGTCCCATCCTGTCTGAGTAAGTCCCATCCTGTCTGAATAAGTCCCATCCTGTCTGAGTTATAAAAGGAAAAGCAATAAGAACAAGAACTATTAAGATAAAATCAAAGAAAACTCAGATGAGTGTGTATACAATAAATGTGTACATGTACATGTATGTATAGTGTGACCTAAGTGTAAGTAGAAGTAGCAAGATGTACCTGAAATCTTGCATGTTTATGAGACAGAAAAAAGACACTAGCAGTCCTACCATCATGTAAAACAAATACACTCACTTTATAGGACAGTAGTACCTCCCTGGGTGGTTGCTGTCTACCACCCTACCAACCTAGCCTTGGGTATCCTCTCCAATTTCAAACACACTGCTTCTTAATATGCTAAAGTGGATTTTCTTCTCTCTTACATCCACTTCTGCAAAAACTCCTGGACTTTGCCTTACCTATACGTATTTTTAATCAACCAAATCTTAATAATGCCTTCCATTCTCTGAATATCAAACTTGCATTTTACCAAACTAAATACACTTCATAGTAACCTAGTTCATACTTCTGTTACTGGTGCTACTGATGCCTACTTTATTTCTTGTTCTTTCTATTTTCAATGCTTTTTTGAAACTGACTGCTCTTTCTGGTAGACTTAAAGAACCCAAAAGAAGTGTTAACAACTTACAACCCTCTCTTCTGTTAAGAGATCACAGCCATCCTATAAACTGGTCGTCTGACAAGACTAGTCTTCACAGACACCATTTTGTTGAACTGACTCTTATACACATTTATAGCCTGAATTTTAGTGTTGGTTTTGTTTCAGTGGATATCTGTTACTTAATTCACTGCCAGATACTCTTGATCCTAAGAACATTCATGACTTGGCCTGCCTACCTACCTGGAGGGTGTTAGGGGGTCAATGCCCTCATGGCCCAGTCCTTGACCAGGACTCCCAGTGGATCTTGCCTTTGTCTTCTCACTGTTTTTAATCATCTGTCATGTACGTATTCTTATTCCTCTTTTCTTTACATTTGTTGTCACTGTTCACCTAGCAGTAAGTAGGTACCTGATTGTTATTGGACTGGCGTGGGTGGCATCCTGGGGCACAAGACTGAAGGGCCTCAACAGAAATATGACAGTCCTCAATGACCCACTGACTTTCTTGGATTATCCTGGGTGGCTAACACTCTCGGGTTAAACATCCCAACAGAATCTTCTCTCTTTCTCTTATCTTACCCTTCTTTCTTTCATAGTAAGAGACATCAGGCTAACTACAGTGCTTCTTACTATTCCTTCATGAGCTCATTGGAATTTGGAAACATGGGTTAGTTAGAAGGTGAAGTTGACAGCTTCTCCAGAAGACAATGTAATACACACTACAGCCTCTCCTCACTTAACGGCGGAGTTGTGTTCCTAAGACCACATCGGTGAAGGAATTTGTCATAAGTGAGGAGCATACTATAATGGCATTGGGTTTGTGTCAACCATCTCTGATATTATTTTAATGTCATCTTTGTACAATTTATAACATTTTAGTATATTTTTAAATGTTTATACAGTAGTGTACTGTATATTGTAATAAACATTATTTAGGTATGCGTATTGGTCAGAGAGCCCTTCATAAGTCCAAGTCGTCGGTAAATGAGTACGTCGCTAAGTGAGGAAAGGCTGTATTATCATTACTAATTCCTTCTCTCTTACATCTTACCAACCTGTCTTCAGCTCTTCTTTGCCATTTTCCAACTGTGACTTGACAATGTCCAGGAAAGTCCAAAATGTCATGTAAAGCTCCTCTCTAAGTGTGGGTTACTTATAAAACATTAACAGTGTAATTATCCTAACACACTACACTCAATACAAACACTTTAATCACCATCTTTTTCACCCTAACAACTGTCACAATCCACAACATATATGCAAACAAAAGTCTTCGTAGTTACAAACAACTTCAGATATTTCCAGTTAAGACAGTGTATGTCTAAAACAGTAGTATTTAATTAATTTTATAACACTTGTCACCCATCCAGTGCATTGCTTAGTCACTTGAGTTGTTCACTTAATGAACAAGTTCATTAATAAACGTATTGAAATAGACAAAAATGAAGACTGTTCATCTCAATAATATCTCTTATAACCAAAAACACAATTTGGGATGTGAATATGTCATAAAAATAATTGTATAGTTTTGATGTATGTCTTAGCTATCAAATTCTAGAGCCAGAAACGTGGTTTTTAAACCACGGAAAATTACACAGCTGCACAAAACAGTAGATGTATATGTTGTATATAAATAAATATTCATGGCTACTAAGGGTAACTAAAAGAGAAATTGGTGTTCCTGTTGCAGGGTGAGTTTGCTGACTGATATTTCTACAATAGCGATCCATTTTCTGAGTCCCCTTTGTGGAAGTGAAAGGAACTCCACTTCTTCCATTAATGTGTGTATACTCACCTATTTGTGGTTGCAGGGGTCGAGTTGCAGCTCCTGGCCCTGCCTCTTCACTGGTCACTACTAGGTCCACTCTCTCCCTGCTCTACGAGCTTTGCAGTACCTCCTTTTAAAGCTATGTAATATAGATTCTGTGTATGTGTGCGCTCACTTAACTGTGGTTGTAGGTATCAAGTCACAGCTCTTGGTCCTGTCTTTCTGCTAGCCACTACTAGATTCACTCTCCTGGGTGCATGAGCCCTGTCATATCTATTCTTAAAGGTATGTACAGTCTGCCTCTACCACTTTGCTGTCTGGGTCATTCCACTTCCTGACCACTCTAAGGCTAAAGATGTATTTCTTAACATTCCTGTGACTCATCTGTGTAAAATTTTAATTTGTAATAGTGACCTCCCATACCTGAAACCAACCTCTCTGACTCTCCCTGTCCACCCTGTCAATTCCTCTCAGTACTTTGTACATGATATGCACGTGTGTGTGTTTACTCACCTATTTGTGGTTGCAGGGGTTGATTCACAGCTCCTGGCCCTGTGTGTGTGTGTGTGTGTGTGTGTGTGTGTGTGGGGGAGTCTACACCCGCTCCCCTGCCCTGTTTCTCGCTCTCCATGTAAACCTAGAGTCAGTGGCATCCCTCCCCCACACACCATGGGCTGGCATGAGGTCTGGAGTGTGATCATGTGCAGCTGGGTGGTGAAGAACATGTGAGCCACCCACCAGGGTAGCCACCAGATGGGTGTGGGCAGGTGACGAGGGCCAAGCGGCAGCCAAATTTGGGGTGGAGGTGGATGCTGTAAGGAGAGGTGATGGAGGGTCATCCAGACATGGTGGGGATGACGGTGTAGCAGCACTCAGGGGCAGTGACCGTGGACGTGAGGGACCTGAAGCCTCAAGGGAGAGTGAAGCTCCTAGCGGACGCCGCCCACGGCAATAGTGAACGTGGCCGGAGGGTGGGAGGTAGTGGGTGGATAGCGGAGTGTGGGCAGCTGTGGGTGGGGGGGAGGCCGCCCCAGGCAACTGACTGATCTTGTGAAGAACGTCGCGTAGCTCCTTGGTGGCAGGTGAGGGCGGTAGGGTGGGCGAGGTGGGTGCTGGTGGTGAGGGCGGCGAGGTGGGAGGCAGGCTGGACACATCAGAGGCGTGGGGTCCCACAGACGAGGCTGGAGAAGCTAGTGCCAAGACACAGCCAGGAGACCACACTCTGTACCCACCACCACTACTACCACCACAACCACCACCACTACCACCACCACTGCTGCTGCCACCACGACCATCACACTGAGGTGCACCACCATAACAAGTTAGTACTCACCCTACTACCTCAACAGATCTTCATCCAAGGAACTGGAGCTACCTCCCATTCCCCATGTACTTTATAATTCCTACAAATTCAATGATACCCCAGGAATAGTACTTCTACTACTACTACTACTACATAATAATAATAATAATAATAATGTGGTACTCTATTATTATTAAACTATGGAACGGATGGGTTTTGAACCCATGGTGAGTGAGTCTTAAGACTCCAGTACCAGTATTATGTGTATGGGTCATTCATTGCCTGTGGAATGGCAGAATATCAGGATTGGACCAAGGAATGGGAGGGTAGCTTCAGTATCTTTGATGAAGAGCTCTCCACTAGCATCATGGGAAGCCACACAGTACATCTGCTACTGTTAACTAGCTAATGTAAGTCTTCTCTAAACTGAAGTACAGTAGGACCCCTGTATCCACGGAGGATAGGTTCCAAGGACCTGCCATGGATACCGAAATCGTGGATAGTAGTAAACCCTATATATACACACTGTTATAAAGTTTTACTGATAAATAATTTACAGTAAGTGGAGAATTAACATTTTCACTGATGGGAAGCACTTCACAGCTTCTCTTGGGCTTTGAGGAACTGTCAGCTTCTCTACTTTTGCACTTTGGGTCCATTATATGTAAAATTAACAGGTATTTTTGGGCCACAGTAAACTGTGGATAACTGAAACCGTTGTTACTGAATCAGTAGATACGAGGGTTCTGCTGTAATCTCTATTGCAATACACCCTGAGAATGTGACTTTTAAATTACAACCCTTAGGAGTACTCCCTTAAAAGTATACCTATATGAGTGCAACATTTGAAAATACTCTGAGTGTATCCTCAGAAGACACTACAGTATACCCACTGGGTACTGTACACTCTTTAAAATACACCCTAGGCAAGCACTTTCTAGTCTAGACAATACCCTAAGAAAGTACCCTTTGGAGTACACTCTTTGAATACACCCTTTTGAGTACACCCCTGACATACACCCTTGGTAGTACTTACATCAGAAAACACCTGTACATACGTACCTGGAGAGCCGTGCCATAAGTTATACTGGAACTCTGGGAGCCGTCAGGTGTTGACACTGACCCTGCAACACACGACACATTAGCTACCAAACAAAAGTTATTGTTACCATAAAGGGGGGGATATTATCGTATAGGGAGGATATTGTCACCAGAGGGAGGCTCTTTTCGTAGGACGATGTTATTACTGTAGGGGGAGGATGTTATTACCACAGGAGGAGGATATCACCATAAAGAGAGGGAGGGTATTATGATGGAGGGAGGATTGAATAACCAGAGACAGTATTATCACTACAGATGGAAGTTATCACTGAGGGCAGGAAAGCTATCAGTGAGGGAAGAAAGTTATCACAAAGGGAGAGAAAGTTTTGACAGAGAGGAGTATTATCAACATGGATAACATAAGTCATGCAAAAGGCTAGAGGCTGCAGAAAGGTCAGTATCATGCAAAGGGCAGAGAGTAGGATAGAGAGGGGTAAAGGAGAGGGAAGGGAAGAGACTGAAGGGAAAGGATAGGGAGGGATGAACTCATTTTGTCCTAGTGATTAGAAGGTGCTTGTGCCGCCACCACCTGCCATTCTCAGCTGCTCTCTCTCTCTCCCAGCTGAAGGAGTCACGAAGCATAGTAATACATAAGCGCAAATGCAAATACATAGATAAAAAGTAAGTTTCAAAAATTAAAAAGAACCAGTCAAAATAGAGTTCCTTTGAATTTTTGGGTTATCACTGGTAATTTACATTATGTATGATAATTGTACTTATCCTAGGAAGTAGGTTGGTAGACAGCAACCACCCAGGGAGGTACTACCGTCCTATGGTAGTAGGTTGGTAGACAACAACCACCCAGGGAGGTACTACCGTCCTGTGGTAGTAGGTTGGTAGACAACAACCACCCAGGGAGGTACTACCGTCCTGTGGTAGTAGGTTGGTAGACAACAACCACCCAGGGAGGTACTACCATCCTGTGGTAGTAGGTTGGTAGACAACAACCACCCAGGGAGGTACTACCATCCTGTGGTAGTAGGTTGGTAGACAGCAACCACCCAGGGAGGTACTACCGTCCTGTGGTAGTAGGTTGGTAGACAACAACCACCCAGGGAGGTACTACCATCCTGTGGTAGTAGGTTGGTAGACAGCAACCACCCAGGGAGGTACTACCGTCCTGCAAAGTGAGTGTAAAACGAAATCCTGTAATTGTTTTACATGATGGTAGGATTTCTGGTGTCCATTTTTCTGTCTCATAAACACGCAAGGTTTCAGGTACGTCTTGCTACTTCTACTTACACTTAGGTCACACTACACATACATGTACAAGCATATATATACACACCCCGCTGGGTTTTCTTCTATTTTCTTACTAGTTCTTGTTCTTGTTTATTTCCTCTTACCTCCATGGGGAAGTGGAACAGAATTTTTCCTCCGTAAGCCATGCGTGTTGTAAGAGGCGACTAAAATGCCGGGAGCAAGGGGCTAGTGACCCCTTCTCCTGTATATATTACTAAATGTAAAAGGAGAAACTTTCGTTTTTCCTTTTGGGCTACCCCGCCTCGGTGGGCCACACCGCCTCGGTGGGATACGGCCAGTGTGTTAAAAGAAAAGAAAGAATTATACTTATGTGTACCTGTACCTAAATAAACTTACTAAAGTAACAGTACCATGGTTGGAACATTTCACAGATAACTCACACTTAAAGGTTAGTTAAGACTGTTCAGGAAACAGGACAAGTGTTTCCTGACGTAGGTCTTTGTCATGTGATGACCTGCCACTGCAGCTTTTGGTCATCTGATTGAGACCTTCTGCTGGCTAACCGGTCTACCCCTTTAAAAATTAGTATTCGTTTATTTCAACCACACTTAGAGATAGGAATAACACAACTCTAAAGTCCCTTTTTTTAGTACATGCCTGCCTTTCTCAATACACTGGCTGCCTACCTTTCTCAGTATACTGGCTGCCTACCTTTCTCAGTATACTGGCTGCCTACCTTTCTCAGTATACTGGCTGCCTAACTTTCTCAGTATACTGCCTGCCTGCCTGCCTGCCTGCCTGCCTGCCTGCCTGCCTGCCTGCCTGCCTGCCTGCCTGCCTGCCTGCCTTTCTAAGTATACTGGCTGCCTGTGTGCCTTTCTCAGTACACTCTGCCTGCCTTTCTTAGTACACTTGCAAATGCTCTATATGTCAGATTGTGTATTATTATAATCATGGGGGAGCACTAAATTCGTAGGGATTATACAGCACCTGTGGGGGGGGGATTATGGAAAGTATAGAGGCTCAATTGAGGGAACTGAAGCACAGATCCAATTCCCTAGATCAAGAGCCCCTCACCAGCATCAAGGAACCTCCCTTGAGGGGTCAGATTGTGTAATGAATCGAGACTGAACCTCCCAAACATAAAAAATATCATCATTAATAACCCCAACACAGGTATTAAGTTACTCTTAACTCCAACACAGGTATTAAGTTACTCTTAACTCCAACACAGGTATTAAGTTACTCTTAACTCTAAAACAGGTGTTAAGTTGCTCCTAATAACTACAGAAAGCAGTTCTTCACATGATTAATATATAATTTTACTTCAGAAATACATTAATAACTCTGTTGATCTGGTGTTGGGTCTAGTTATGTTAGATACGACTTTATTCTCTGAGCAGAGCAGTATCAGGTCTTGATGTGATGAATGGCAGTAGGATGGCAACACCTGCCATCCTGTCTACCATGCTTGTGTGACCTGCCATCCTACTGTCTACCATGCTTGTGTGACCTGCCATCCTACTGTCTACCATGCTTGTGTGACCTGTCATCCTACTGTCTACTATGCTTGTGTGACCTGCCATCCTACTGTCTACCATGCTTGTGTGACCTGTCATCCTACTGTCTACTATGCTTGTGTGACCTGCCATCCTACTGTCTACCATGCTTGTGTGACCTGCCATCCTACTGTTTACTATGTTGTGTGAAACCTGCCATCCTACTGTCTACCATGCTTGTGTGACCTGCCATCCTATCTACTATGCTTGTTCACAGTACCTGCCAGCCTGTCTACCATAATTGTTGATAACATCTGCCATCCTACTGTCTACCATACTTGACAGTACCTACCACCCTACTGTCTACCATACTTGACAGTACCTACCACCCTACTGTCTACCATACTTGACAGTACCTACCATCCTGTCTACCATACTTGACAGTACCTACCATCCTACTCTCTACTGTACTTAATAGTACCTACTATCCTGCTGTCTACCAAACTTGACAGTATCTACCATCTTACTGTCTACCAAACTTGACAGTACCTACCATCCTACTGTCTACCAAACTTGACAGTACCTGTCATCATGACTACCATACTTGACAGTACCTGTCATCCTACTGTCTACCATACTTGACAGTACCTGTCATCCTGTCTACCATACTTGACAGTACATACCATCCTAACCTGTCCAAAATGTGGGACTGAAACCTGTCCATAATGTGGGACTGAAACCTATCCATAATGTGGGACTGAAACCTGTCCATAATGTGGGACTGAAACCTGTCCATAATGTGGGACTGAAACCTGTCCATAATGTGGGACTGAAACCTGTCCATAATGTTGGACTGAAACCTGTCCATAATGTGGGACTGAAAACTGTCCATGTGGGACTGAAACCTGTCCATAATGTAGGACTGAAACCTGTCCATAATGTGGGACTGAAACCTGTCCATAATGTTGGACTGAAACCTGTCCATAATGTGGGACTGAAAACTGTCCATGTGGGACTGAAAAACCTGTCCATTAAAGTAGGACTGAAACCTGTCCCTAATGTGGGACTGAAAAACCTGTCCATAATGTAGGACTGAAACCTGTCCATAATGTGGGACTGAAACCTGCCCATAATGTAGGACTGAAACCTGTCCATAATGTGGGACTGAAACCTGCCCATAATGTGGGACTGAAACCTGTCCATAATGTGGGACTGAAACCTGTCCATAATGTGGGACTGAAACCTGTCCATAATGTGGGATTGAAACCTGTCCATAATGTAGGACTGAAACCTGTCCATAATGTGGGACTGAAAACCTGTCCCTAATGTGGGACTGAAACCGTCCAAATGTAGGACTGAAAACCTGTCCATAATGTAGGACTGAAACCTGTCCATAATGTGGGACTGAAACCTGTCCATAATGTGGGACTGAAACCTGTCCATAATGTGGGACTGAAACCTGTCCATAATGTGGGACTGAAACCTGTCCATAATGTTGGACTGAACCTGTCCCTAATGTGGGACTGAAAACTGTCCTTTTGGGACCCGAAACCTGTCCATAATGTAGGACTGAAACCTGTCCATAATGTGGGACTGAAACCTGTCCATAATGTTGGACTGAAACCTGTCCATAATGTGGGACTGAAAACTGTCCATGTGGGACTGAAACCTGTCCATAATGTAGGACTGAAACCTGTCCATAATGTGGGACTGAAACCTGTCCATAATGTAGGACTGAAACCTGTCCATAATGTGGGACTGAAACTGCCCATATGTAGGACTGAAACTGTCCATAATGTGGGACTGAAACCTGCCCATAATGTGGGACTGAAACCTGTCCATAATGTGGGACTGAAACCTGTCCATAATGTGGGACTGAAACCTGTCCATAATGTGGGATTGAAACCTGTCCATAATGTAGGACTGAAACCTGTCCATAATGTGGGACTGAAACCTGTCCATAATGTGGGACTGAAACCTGTCCATAATGTAGGACTGAAACCTGTCTCTCCAGAGTAACACATTATGAAAATAAACCAAATATTTAATGTGAAATTTGCTTCATTTTAATCTTATCTTCGGATAAGTGTTACTTGTAGTGTTACTTGTAGTGTTACTTGTAGTGTTGCTTGTATAGTGTTACTTGTAGTGTTGCTTGTATAGTGTTACTTGTAGTGTTGCTTGTAGTGTTACTTGTAGTGTTACTTGTAGTGTTACTTGTATAGTGTTACTTGTATAATGTTACTTGTATGGTTACTTGTAGTGTTGCTCGTAGTGTTGCTTGTAGTTTTACTTGTAGTGTTACTTGTAGTGTTACTTGT